TCCATCTACTTTAAGCTTTAAGCCCTTAGTCGCCTCATACGACACCCACGGGTAAGGAAGGGGTGGCCTATTCTATGCCGGGACCACACGGTCTAATTTCTATTTAATAAGAAGTAATTTCTTTAAATTTCTACAGAAACAGGATTTACGATAGACTCGAGCGAAGCCGCGTTCAATGGCATGTATACAATATATTTCTATGAATGGAGTCATTATTTAATGAGTTTATTTAATATTATTTACACGAACTATATATAATATGTCGCAGGAAAATTGGAATATTAGGGATTTCATGAAATACCTAGAGATATTACGAAATTACAGAATATATATATATATTCTTTATTGCACTAAAATATACAGTAACAACAATAAGTTAATAAGAATGTTAGCAAAGGCGAACTTATCTCTAAAAGAGATTTCTTCCAGTCAACACAGTGGCATAGGAAATAGTGAGTGGGCAGTAGTAGTGCAAAGCAAAAATTATAGTAAATATTTACATAAATTACAAATTATTATATATATATATATATATATATATATATATATATATATATATATATATATAATAATCTAATCAAATTTTTCTGTATATTATTATTAACTTATTCTTGTCGAGTAATTTAATGATATTACAAGATAATACACTATATTCAGTAATAGGTCATTTCACTACTCTTTTTTTTAATGGATGATAATGGAATGGTAACCCCACCCGCGCTATCGGTATACACCGGCGGGGCACCGGTGAAGGATGATAGGTGAGTATAAAGCAGATCAGTTAGCCCATCGTGACGAATTCAACAAAAAATGTTCACGATGGTTTCCAGGGGGAACCACGTGGAGGTCGACTTAATAAGGCATATTGCTAGCAATGGGGCTGCAAACTCCATTGATAACAATCCCTTTCCCCCCGGTCATTTCACTACTAGGCCTAGTGAAATGAGAAAGGTATCTTTATTTATATTATATTATTTTTTATTGTGAGGCTTTTATTTTTATATATTTTTTAAAATTTTATTTTTATATTACATCTGGAATCAACAGCTTATATCTGAAATAATTAAAAAATATTATATTCACACCATAAAGGTAGAAAGACGACAGTAATGAAAGGGCATACTTTCAAATTGATCTCATAAGAATTTTACTTAAATCGGTATAGTAGTTTGATTTTTAAGCCAAAATAACAGGTTTTGCCAGGATTGAAGTAAATGTTTTTTTTTTTTTTATAAAATATGATCAATAAATTATTCAATAAGAAGACGTAATAGATTAAAACACATTTCGTTATTTTTTCGGTTTCCTTGGGTATTTGGCTAAATAACTTATAGCCTCATTGCCCTACGACATATTCGTGTTTGACGTAATGATTCATGAGTAAGCACGAACAATAGTTTCATTAAACTTCACGTGATATATGTCAACTTTGGGACAATGTAATAAAATAGACATTTGTGAATGAAGTTACAAGCTGTTCAATTGATTGATGAAAACAAGAATGAATATGTTTGTTTGGTGGTTTCAATTCGACTGTAGGTAGGTATTCGTCTATAGCTATTTTTATTTTTATGCTCGTACTACGTCACGCGATGTATCGTTGGTAATTTTGTGCTGGGGGTCTACCATGAAACGAAATTACGAATTTTCCCACACAATTTCGTGTTATATGATATTTGAACTCGTGGTATATATGAACATATATCGAAATCGGCCCCGTAAATGGAGTTTAACGTTTTGTTCGTCATAAATCCTACCATTAAAGTCTAAAGAAACAATATATTGACATTTTTAATATTTTTAAACGATATATATTATGTGTTTTAACATCAAATTTGTTTTTCGTTTGGCCTCAACATTTCGGAAAAAATTTCATGGCAGGTTTTTTTTTATACAACTTAGAATGGCAAACAAGCTGACGGCCAACCTGATGTAAAGTGTTAACTGTCGCCTATAGACATGAGCAGTACCATGGACGGAACAGAATATACTGTTTCGCCCATGATACCCCCTATGCGTTGCCATTCCTGAGGACTCAGGTGTTATTCCTCTGTACCCAGTAAATTCAGGTTTCTATGGTTCATTTGTTTTACTTCAAATTACCACTGCTCATTTTAGTTATACATCGGCGAGACGCCAATGAGGGATGATAGACGAGGATGAAACAGATCAGTTGGCGCATAGTGAGGAATTCATAAAAAAATAATCAAGATGGTTTCCAGGGGGAACCGCATGGAGATCGACCTGATAGGGTATATTGCTAGCTATGGGGCAAAGCTAGCTATACCCCAATACACACACACATATATATATATATATATATATATATATATATATATATATATATATATATATATATATATATATATATATATATATATATATATATATATATATATATATATATTAACAAACGAGTCTTACAGTTTATATGTTCACCTAGAAAAAAATATGTAAAATATATGTATAGGTATACATAAAAAATACTATAATAAAAATGAATGCAAATAATAAGTGATAATAAATTAATATAAAGCTATTTATAGCCATAGAACGTATTAGGAATTCTCATTCTAAATATAAGTATGAAGCTTATTTTCCAGAATGTTCCGATGAATGACAGCTGTTAGTTAACAGGGGAACGACTTGCAATGGAACAATATGTGCACATGCATTATACAGCCAATTGAACTGCAGCCAATTTACCCATTTAATCTCGACCTGAACTCTCCATCTGGTTCCCATTGACGACATGATAAATAAATTAATATATCACACAATCACATCAGTGGCCTGGTCCTCAAACTATAGAATACTGGAGGGGGGGGGGGGCTGTTAGTAGTCCAAACTAGTGGTCCCATTGCTAGCAATATGTCAGGTCGACCTCTACGAAATCCCCCCTGGAAACCATGGTGCTGAATTCCACGTGTATTCATCACGGTGGGTTAACTAACGTGTCTTTTCAGGGGGGGGGGGGGTTGTTAGTAATGGGATCTAACAGCCTTATCGCTATCAATGCACCTTGTAAATGTCATAAGAGGCGACTAAGGGAGGGCGAGGGATGGACACCAGCGTCCCTCCTAAAACATCGCCAAAACTGCTGTTGCCAATCCGCCTGCCAAGCGTGGCAACTATTGTACTGCAAGGGGAAGGCTTATGTTCAGCAGTGGACAGTTAAAGGCTGATACGAATATGGATATATAAACTAAATTGTGCTGGTAACCCTAACTATCATAGGCGTATTGAAGGGGCCGGGTGGGCCGTGCCCATCTCAGAATTATCTAGTATATATACCAATGCCGACTATTATTACGTTAGTAGTCAACGACTAATTGGTTCCAGAGTACAAAACAAAGTAACGAGCTTCACGTGTAGGCACAACAATCTGATTGTACTGACGCGTGTGACATTTACAATTGACATCCGGGGGAATTAATTAATATTTATATTAGACACAGGTCAATAAGCAAAAAGTTTAATCTACGAAACGAGAGCGATGCGAAGAATTTGCTGAGCATTAATATTTATTTACACTTTATTGCACCAAGTAAAAAGAAGAATAACAAATACAGTATGTTGAGGTTTTATTTATTTTTAAAAATAGAACTTATTCATTTTTCTTGTTATGTCAATGAGTATTTTGTTTATTAGAGAACGTCATTATTTTTAAAACATCTATTATTGTACTAGGGAACAATATAATATATCTTTATTCAGTATCTTATATTTTTATTGTTTTATCCATCAAACCCTTCACACAGTAAATATTAATGAGAAGTGATACAAAAGGCGGCCTTATCACTAAGCAATCTCTTCCAGACAACCTCTATAATATCTGGCTGATATTTTGCACAAGAGTAGAGCGAGAGTCGTTTTGAGTTTTTTGTTTATTTCTTGACTTTATGACATCTAAGTAAAAATAGTTAGAGGTCGTGAAATCATAAAAGAGTACATTGTTTTATTTTTATTGTCATTCTCATAGGCATATTTAAAATGGTAGGGAGGCGTGCTCATAATAGGATCACGAGCTTATCAGCTATAAGCAAAGATATTTGTGAGAGTACATATCAGTGTTGGGCTAAGACCATCAGAGATCCAGGGCGTCAAGGCTGAGGCCCCAGTTTGAGAAGTTAATATAATTTTATAAGCTTTTTATTCAGTTTACATTTGTATGTATAAGTGTTTATTTTTATTTAGTTAAAACCTTACAAATTAAATTTATATTAGACTGTATATGAGGAAAATAAAATATTAATTGATCGAAAGTAATGGGCAATTTTTAGAGGCATTGAAGGCCCCTCAGGACCGGAGCGGGTCGCCCCTTCCGTCTCCTCTCTCTTTAAGTTTGATATTGGTGCATGATGCGTCTTTTAAGGAGGCTAGGGCCTCCTGATAAATAATAGTAAATACGTAAATATCAACGTTTATCTCCTCGTAATGTTACCTAAAATAGATTTATAACACAGAATTTAACAACGTATCATTTATAAAATTCATTGATGAATTTTATCCATCATCAAGTATTTAAGAAACGAAAGTAGAGTGGTAATTCTGCACATGCTATCAGTATACGCTGACGGGGTACCAGTGAATGATGACAGGTGAGGATAGTGTAAACTGTCCCATGTCGTGACGAATTTATAAGAAACATCCCTATGGGGGAACTGCATGGAAGGCAACATAACAGGATGTATTGCTAGCAATACGAGTAGGATTTCCAGCCGTCATTTGTTTTTATACCACTGAGATGGCATACAAGCATACGGTCATCTTGGTGGTAGGTGTTTATTATAGCCTATGAACGCCTGCAATACAAGGGACATTACACGCGCATTGCTGTCTCTGAAGAAACCTCTTTAACCCTTTTTTTAAAATCTCATTAACATTACTAACAATACCTACCTTCTTACCCTGATCGGAGAATTTCCAAAAAATTTCATTGAAACGCAAAGTATTCCTAACTCTAAATAACTCAGAATTGTTGCAATTTTAATTTCCAGTGGTACTCCCTGTATTTTCTTATGGCACGGCCGTGGGATGGATGTCCCCAATGGGCCCCCGGCTAATGTCTCCCGAATCTCCCGCGGCGGATCCAGTACATCCCGACGTCATATCCTGGATGGCATCAGTGGTGTACTTAGTGGGGACGCCAGCTGTGTTCCTCTTTGGTTACATTGTTGATAATTACGGCAGGAAGAAGGCTCTGATGTTAACTTCTTTGTCTATGGTCGTAAGTATCCATCCTTATTTTCTTCAATAAAAATAGATAAATAATTTAATTATGACACAATTGTTATATGATCAATTTGAAAATAAACTCAATAGATTACAAAAAGACTCATGAAAATCGGTTCAGAATCTATGAATATGACGTAAAAAAAACATGACGACTTCCTAACACTACTTTTCGTCTCGGTATCAAGCTAACTAAATGGTACTATAACAATAATATTTATTGTATTGGTCAGGCCGATAGGATGCTAGCAAGTGGTTAAAAAATAAATGATAAATTTTGAACGGAAAAAATCTTACATTGGTACCGTACCAATCACTATAATATCATCATATAAGCCATTATCTATCCACTGCTGAACATAGGCCTCCTCTTTAGCTCCGGTCGTCTTCAACTCGGGAGCCCGGGAACCCGACATATGCGCCTCGAGGTACGTCGTGAGGTTTTAGTGGGTAAAAATCCCACACACCCTCTCTGCCTTCCCTCCGGCAGTTGGGAAGGTCTTTGGAAGATTTCCTCACGTTAAAAAAAAAGGCGTCCTCATTAAATAGCTACAAGGAGCGGTCCTAAGGCACCTGTATCCACTGCCTTCCATCATACCACCATACCTATAAAGCAACTTAAAGAAAAGCATATAAAAATATAAACGTATTAAAAACCTCGTCTATTTTCATACATATATATGAAAAAAAAGAGTTTACTTTTATTTAACATAGGTGCACATGATTACAATTCAATTGTTATTGTACAATAAACTTGACGCAAGTACACTTCGTATGACCATCCAAGAAACGATACGGAGTGCGGCAGTCCTCATCAGGACTCCGCCATAATGACCCTGCGGCGCTTCGCAAGCCGCAGAGGGTAAAAATAAATAATTATTATTGATCTTTCATAAACTCGAAAATATAGTTGCATTTTTTTTTATTGGATGAAAAGAGAATGGTAACCCCGCCTGCGCTAACGGGATACGCTGGCGGGGCACCAGTGAAGGGTGATAGATGAGAATGAAAACAGGCGAGTTAGCTCATCATGATGAATTTATCAGGAATTAATCATGATAGTTTCCAGGGGGAACCGCGAGGAGGTCGACCTTAGGTTGGGTATATTGCTAGCAATTACTAACAACAATCCCTTTCCCCCCAATATAGTTGCATTAGGCTATGTGTCATTTCGACTCATATCTCTGAATAAAATAATATGAATAGGTAAGACTTTTTATGAAAGAAAATAGAATGATAACATTGCTTGTATGAATATTTTACTCTCATGGGGTACTAGTGAGAGATCATGGCGAGGAATTAACCGCGATGGTTGCCAGGGGTGGCCGCGTGGAAATTAACACCTGACAGGATATACGATAGGAACTAGAGTCTTTATTACTAAAAATCCCTTTCCTCTATTATGAATCTAATGAGAAGGTAACAAAGTTTAACTGAAATAATTATATCACAGGAACACTTTCTAAATGACATTAGTTAGATTTTTTATTTGTTTATTGGACATTCGCCCTGTGCAACCCTTGTCTTTACCGCAGATGTCGTAAGAGGCGACTTAGGGAATAGGGATGGGTGACAGCGTCCTTCTTAAAATATCACCAAAGCCTAACTGTGATTGCCAATCCGTTTGCCAAGCGTGGTAACTACTGGTAAAACCCCCCTTATGGGAGAGTTTTATGTTCAGCAGTGGACAGTTAAAAGCTGATGTAATAATAATAATTATGGAATGTCAGCAGACTGTCTATGGCCAAGTTATTTACTTATTTATTTATATTCTTATTTAGTTCTATTAATACAGACTATGTATGTAGATACTAAGTTAGTATCGTAACTCTGCAATATCTATTTTCAGGTGTGCTGGGGCCTCAAATTATACTCGACAGCTACCTGGGCATTAATAACCGCTCGGGCCATAATAGGCCTGGGCGTGAGTGGAGCATATGTAGTCACTCCTCTGTACATTAAAGAAATCAGTGAAGACTCCATTAGAGGAGTGCTCGGAAGCCTGGTAGTTCTATCTCAGAATTTAGGCAACTTGGTGGTGTATGTTCTGGGAGAATATTTGAGTTACGACGCGACGTTGTGGATCTGTTTGGCGATACCATTGGTGCATTTGTTGGTGTTCACCACAATGCCAGAAACGCCGTCCTATCTATTGAAGAGAGGAAAGGTCGAGGTGTGTTTTGTAACTACTTATGTATTTGTCATGTTTAGCATAAGAATAAATTTAGTATTCAGGTAGAACTGATATTCCTGTAGATCCAACAATAATATTCGGCCTGATTTTTTAAGAGTTAAACCAGACAAGGCAGTACTAGACAAGCAACTGACATCACAGCTAGAGCTTATCTCTTTCACTCGTTTGTGTATCGCCGTATTGTTTGAATTTTTTTGTACCACAAGGATGGTAAACAAGTATATACAGCCTATCTGATGGTAAACGGTCACTGTAACCTATTGATGTCTACAATACTAGGCGAGTCACGTGTGCAGTGCCGATTCTGAAAAAACCTTAATACCTTTTTGAAAAGCCTCATACTGTAGTATTTAGGGGAAACCTCGGCATGGAGCTTATTCCACAGCCTGAGCGTTCGCTGGAGGTTTCTCTAAAACCGCACCGCACGTGACCGTGTGAGGATGAATTCACTGTCGATGGCAAGCGGTACGATGATAAAAGGTGGCTATAGGCATCATTTCAAATAATTCCTCACAAATTTCTGATAACTCTCCCAATATATGAGTATGCAGGATCTGAAACGAAGAAGGATACTTTTTGGCGGCATTGACTCGTTCACAAAGGAAAATATATGAGTGTTCTACTCAGTCTATTTATTCTTATTGTTACGTATTTTCTTGGGTCACTTGGATTTCAATTTAATATTTAAAGACGAGTACTTAATTTGAATACTTTATTTTTCAAAGACTATATATATTCTTTATTGCACTTAAACAATATATGCGACGATTAGTTTAACACCTTGTTAGCAAGGGAGGACTTATCTCTGAAAGAAATCTCCTCCAGCCAACCAGTATAGTTAGAGAGAAAATAATTTAATTTGGGTAATCCAGAAAAGGTACCAGTGAAAATAATGTAAATACAACAAACACTATTGTGAATAAATATATAAATAAATAAATGACTCAAGACAAAAGCAAAGCGTGAGACGATCGATATCATAAACAAATGTCAAAAATGACAATACAAAGATTGTTTACGAAACGCATGAACGTTCGCAAACGATCCTTTCTAATTATAATTTACGACACTTATACTACAATAATTTGATAATAGAAAATAACTAAATTATTATAAAATAATTGGATATATATCAAATGCTGTAATCTCAACCCTTATGTTTGGACTACATTGGCCATTTTTCATCTGGTGGGCTATGGTCACTTAGACTAGTTACGATAAATAAATATACATAAATAGCTTATTTTGTATTCCCAGGAAGCAAGGGATACTCTCGCCTGGTTGAGGTGCAGAGACACCTCGGAAGCTGCGGTGGACAGCGAGTTGCAACTGTTGTTATTAGAACTGGAGCAAAGTAAATCGGGAAATATTGCAAGTGCATTGAAAAGTTTAGGTTAGTACCTACATTATGTGTACCGTCATAGAGTATAGAGATTTGAATGCATAAAAATAGCCTTAAAAATTAATGTGAAATAATCTAACAGGTCTATGTTCAGCAGTGGGTATGATGATAATGATACTAATATAATGATGATGATGAATCTAAAAGAACAAAAGAATGATTCTCAAGTTGGAACTTCATACTGTGTAGGATTATCGTGTGGTCCCGGCATCGAGTAGTCAACCCCACCTTTTCGCATGGGTGTAAGAGGCGACTAAAGGAAATTAAAGATCGAGGAATGGGCAGCAACGTCCCTCTTAAAACTTCACCAAAGCCTCACTACGATTGTCAACCCATCCGCCAAGTGTAGCAATTATTGGCTAACCCCTCTTATGAGGAAGGCCTATGTCCAGCAGTGGACAGTTAACGGCCGATATCATCATAGTCGTAGAATACTGACGGATCTGACAAAGATTACATATAAAGATCCGTCAGTATTCTACGACTATGACGATATGATGATGATGACTGTATAGGATTGAGTGACAACTTCAAATAATATTAATAGGAAAGGAAGTGGATGCTGGTACCTTGGACCATTCCTTACGGCAATCTATGACTTATATTTAGCTTAACGGTTGAATTTGAAACGGTTTATTTTGGTCGGTCAACATATCTCAATCTCGATCACGCGGATGAAGACGGCGGTAAAAACACATAATTCTAGACTTCCTGTCTTATCTTACAGTCCTAAAAATGTAAGTAAGATATGACATATCGTCATTGTCGTAGAATACTGACCGATCTGATAAATATTACATATATAGATCCGTCGGTATTCTACGACTATGACGATATGTCTACTTATTTTTTCCTCTTTCCTGTAGTACTGTTTGTTTAAATTTAAAGCATTTGTTTAAAATCTACTTTTGTATACAAACATGGTATATCACCTCAAGCAGGTTTAAATCAAGTAAAACTATTTGTTTCAGTTAGTCTAATGTTACGCTCAATCCACATTCAGTGGAGTTTTAACAATAAGTAAACATGCATTGCCGGTCAAGTGATGCGCAAACATTATTGAATCCATTCTCTCGTTCTCACAGTGTCGGGTGACAGACTATACGTACGAGTATATCTTGTTTAGTTTTAATGATGGTAAACTGTACACGCGTTTACTTTTGCACCGTTTGGAAAGTTTCCGATGTCTTTAAATAGTTTTTTAACGTGTACTTACCTAATGTTAAAGACACATAACACCTACATACAAGCATTTATGCGAATTTTAGGACATCAACATTTTTGCGTTTACTTGAACCCAAATTTTTGGAAATTGGAGTGAAATGCCAGAGGAATGATATCCTTGTCTGGGGTGGGAAGGCTCTTTCGCTTCCCTTCTACTAATGCTGGTGAAGCTTTAGTGACGAATGATAGGTAAGATCGAAGACAGCTAATTGGGTCATCGTAATACGTGAAGATCGAAGGGAAAGGATTTGTTAGATATGAGGTCTAAAAGTCCCATTGCTGTCAATATACTCTATGAGGTTAACCTTTACGTGGTTCCCACTGGAAACCAATTAATTATTAAATAATTGTGGGCAATTCTTGTCAAATTCCTTATGATTGGCTAACCGACCTGCATTCTTCCTCACCTACCATCTCTCACTCGTGTCCCGTCAAACATATACCAATAGATAAAACCCTTCTCCCTGATGCTTTTAATAATAAACAATATAACGGTCTAATAGAAATTAGATCGCTACTAAAAGCAATGACTGAAGACTAAATATTATTATTTTTACCAGAGGGAGACTTTGTACAAAAGTCGTTTGCTTGGGTACCTTTGTCCCATTCGTGTTTCAACCGTGAACCGCTGTGTTTCGGTTTGAAGGGTGGGATATGGCGTGAATTTACTGGGTACAGAGGAATAACACCTGAGTCCTCAGGAATGGCAACGCATGGGGGGTATCATGGGCGAAACAGTATACTCTGTTATGTCCATGGTATTGCTAATGTCTATAGGCGACGGTTACCACTTTCCATCAGGTGGGCCGTCAGCTTGTTTGCCATTCTAAGTTGTATAAAAAAAAATCAGGTAACACCGGATCGGATGATAATTAATAAATGAATACTTTTTCTTATATTTATCTGTTATATTTTCATATAAATGATTTTATAATAAAAAAATACTTTCAGTGACGGATCGAAGCACCTTCCGCGCATTCCGGATAACGCTGACGATAACTCTAGCGCGGGAAATGTGCGGTTGTCTCACAGTGTTGCATTTTGCATCGTTGATATTCAGCGAGGCCAGCCAAGGTGGCTGGGTGCTGACTGCCAACCAGCAGGCGGCCGTGCTGGGCGTAGTACAACTGATAGGATCCTGCACCGCCTCTAGTCTGGTGGAAAGGACAGGCAGGAAGGTAATTATATCTTTTTTGTTTTATTGAAAATGGAATGATAACTCCGCCTGCGCTATCGGTATACTCTGGGGGCATAGTCAGTTGGCCCATTGAAATAAATTTACTTGGATTGACCACGATTTTCAGGAAACAATGGGGCTAAAGATGAAGAGATTGTTAGAAATTGGGTTTAATAGCCCTATTACTAACAATATACTTTATCAGGTCGACCTTCATGGGGATCCCCTGGGAACCAACACCATCAACTGACCTGCTTTCACCCTCAGCTTGTATCTCTCGCCAGTGCCCTACCAACATATACTGATAGTGTAGTTTAAAATACAACTCCACTCATTAAAAAAGAACAATGGTGCTGTTATACCCCATTATTTTATCCTCACTCTCTTTTTTGTTTGGAAGAGAAAATAAAAGAAATTTTTGGTCCATCTGATTGTAGTAATTATTATCATAGACAATTCTTGAATAAAAAACGCTTGCACCGTCTACATTTCTCTAGACAAATTTAGCAACTCTTGAACTGATATTTTAAGACTATCGGGACTCACGCACCCGAAAATGTTTCAAATAAATAGTACCTACATACCGAAGTACATAGTCGAAACGCCGGCAATATAGAAACAGGCATCTAGGTACTATTTACCTGTAAAAAATTTTCATAGCGTTAATTACTTAAATTGATATTTGATTACTGGCCAATAAAAACATATTTTCTCGTGAGTACAAATGTTAGGAGTAGGACGTGGTTCGAATACGCATAAGGAAACGTGCGTGTCAATCTACCGAATCTACTACTACCGACATCGCATCGAAATCCCCCTGTGGTTAGCATATTTGTTTAATTTTTGATTAACTGATTTCAGCCCCTACTAGGCACTACTTGCTTAATATCGGGCGTGGCTCTCTGCGTGCTGGGCTCCTGGTTCTACGTGCAGAGCTTGGGAGACGGCGCCGGCGCATCATGGTTGCCCGTAGCCGCGTTATGTTTGTGCATATACTGTGACGCTGCGGGCTTGCAACCTGTGCCGTTTGTGATTATGACTGAAATGTTTTCGTTTCAGGTAATTAATTACAATTCTATTTATTCTGATATTGTAGAAGTTAATTTGTACAATGCTTTGATGTTTTCTAACTCTATCCTTAAGAATACTTAGTATAAGTGTGAAAATAAGTTTGGTTGTGTGTTTATTACCTTATAAGACTCAACTGCTTTACCAATCACTTTGAAATTTGATATACATCTACTATATGGGATGGACAGGAAATATATGCTACTTTTTATCCCGAGTAAAAGTTAGTTACTAATAAACGGTGACAGTTCCGTTGACTGCGATCGAATCCTAGAATTTGACAACGAAGAAATAGACGTCTGAATTTTTCTAATTGATGTATAGATTATGTTTGAAAATGATCATCACCTACTTCGTACTATGTAGGATACGTAAAACCATTGTTAAATAAGCCAGCAAACCAAAGTGTCCTACAAAATTATGAATTAAAAAAATATATATATCTCATCAGAGGCATTTGAGAGCTGCTCTCACAGACATAGCAGTACTAATAATTAGCTGAACAGGTTTGAATTTATAGTAGTACTCTACTACTCGTGAGATTAATCACTTACAAGTTGGAAGTTTAGATCTAATTATATAAAAAAGCTTTTATTCCAGTTCCGGGGAACTGTGACGTCTATAGTCATATCATTCGCGTGCGCCCTCGTCTCCGTGCAACTGCGTGTGTTCCAGCCTCTTGCAACAGCTGTAGGACTATATCTTATCTTCTGGCTGTTCGCCGGTATCTGCCTCATCAGCACCGTGTACATAGCGCTGGTGGTGCCAGAGACAAGGATGCGCAGTATCGACGAAATATACGCGGAGATAGGCGGTAAAAAATGTAAAGAGAGCAAAGACTGTGAAGCTGATGTTACCAGACTGTAACTTAGTAACTTAATTATGAAGTTAGAATATTTGTGACGTCATCATTTATACTCGTATCCCCTAAAAGTAACAAATGACTATACGATGAAATTTAAATCATATTAACATTAACAGGAATGTTGTATTAGTCAATTTGAACAGTTTATCCAAAGAAACATGGCTCAATAATTGACAAAAAAATTTCACAATCTTCAAAGTGCTTTTAGACCCTTTTTTAAATGTTTAGTTTTTCTAGTAGTATATTGCCTTGCAAAATGCAAATAATTTTGATTTCACCGTATATTTGGATGGGCAATCAATACGATAGACAATTATTTATTTATTTCATCAACTGAGTGAGCTTTACAGTTTCCCAATACGCTCACCCAGGAAAGTATCAGTACAGTAATACATATGTATAATTAAATGTAATAATGTTTAATTACATTTAAATCACATAACAATAATAACATTTAATATCATAAATCTCTGAACATAAACACTTTGAGGTGATCCGACGAAACTCCAGCAAGTTGGAGGCAAACACATCGAATTGTGGACACTGGCTCAAAATATAATTGAGCAGTTTCAATGCAAGAGAGAGGAGAGTTAGCTTAGCCAACTCTGTTCTTCTTGTACTTTATTATACTCCTAATAACGCGAGTCCGAAACCAACTGCTCATCAACTAAGTAGTGGGCAGACCTTGTAGTTCTACTATCAAATTAAAGGTTATATTTGAAGGAATTTAAGTACTTATTATTAAGTACATACAACTAAGAACTAATTATATATATTTTCGTCAATAGATATAATATGAATTGGATACTTTGTAGATGTTATGACAGATGTTTTGTTTGTGATTGTAGGTAGATATTTGTAGGTAGTTTCTTTAAATATCAATGAACAATACAAATATGATGATAGCCAATCAGTGATAACCGTATAGTAGCTATTTGTATTTAGTGATGTACTTAACATAGTATAAGTTTACTCACCGATCAAAATGTGGTCAAAATTGTAGAACCTATTAATATATAAGTAGGTAGATAAGATAAGGTAGATTGAAGAGAATAACGGTTTAAAGGATTTTATAACCAAATATAAATCCTTAAGGTCGATAATGAACAATATCATTATTTTGAATAAAATATAAATACGATTTAGAGGTATTTTTGAAAATTGCAATTCATCTAATTGGTAATTTCTTAGAATAATCCGCAAAACGACCAAAAACAATGAAGTGTTAATCATTAGCCAATTCATTGCTGGATAGGATAGGATAGACAAGCCTCAGCGTTTTTCAACCAATACGGTTCTATATAATTAAGTAAATAAACCCTTATTCTACATTTTGATTTGTGCCGATTTAAAACAAAAAGGAATTTCAAATATATTTGTTTACAAACTATTTTACACAGTAACTTTTTCTGATTCTATTAAACTGAGAAGAACCTGCAAGAAATTTGTCACTCTTTTAAATTAATTAATAATGTCAACGGAACATGTTTTTACTCATATTTAAATGTATTATATCTAAAAAGTCCATGTATAATTGATTAACACCATGCACATTTGTTATTCAACGTGTTTGATATTTGTGGAAAATATATTTAAATTCTGTTTCACAAAAATACCTAAGTTGAATTTCTTTTTGAAGTTGATTGAAAAATAAATAGATTCTTAGATATTAAATATTAACAGCTTAGGAAAATAATATACAACACTGGATAAATTGCAAAAAATCATTTCAATATTCTGTTAGAAAATTAGGAATCCATTTTGTTTGCCACGTCATTGGTCATATTTTTTTTATGTATTATCATACAAAACCATTTTAGATTTTTTTATTTAATTAAATAAATCCGGCTTTATTGATATCATGAACGTTTATAAAGCATTTTATTAGAGCTTTAGTTAGGATAATATTTTAGCCATATCAAACTTTCGTATATAACGAAGGCAGCCTAGAAATTTTGAAACCAGAGGGCGACACTTCCATCTTAGTACTAGTATTTTTAAATGGATCAAAACTCAGCCTGTGCTATTGGTATACGCTAGTGTAAAATAAACGCTATGAAGTAGTGTCGGTTGCCCATTGTGACATCTTCTCCAGAAATTTACCACCTGTCTAGTTTCTAGAGGAGACAATGAGAAAGTGGGCCTGATAGTGTATATTGATAGAATTAAGACCCTTTGTTCCCGTTATCACTTTTAAAATAACCGTTGAAATAAAGATGTGTTTAAAGTAACTTTGAATTTAGATTTGAATATGTATGAACCCAATTTGAAACTAGACAATACATTCGACTTCTCTCGTGTCGTGATTACTTTTAACAGTTCTTATTTTTAAGTAGAAAAATAATGTAAATAGTGAATTATAATATCAAAATGAGATATTTTTGATACTAGACAAATAAATAATATTAATAAATCATTTTTTCTTTTTTTTTTCTCTTTTTATTATTCTAAATCCAATGTAGACAAGTGTATATCAAATAAGATGTATTTAAAAGGGGAGAGGGGAAGGGCAATAGATGGATATAGAAATAAAACACAAAACTCACAAGCAATGGAATGTTTACAATTGCAATGATAAAGGTCCTTACATTATATTATATATAAGTACAAGCCTCATACAGAAAGACAGTCTTACTTTGCTTCCAGTAATATATTAATTTACCATAACACTATTGGGATAAACTCTCAAGGTCATCGAACCGTTCGTTGAGATCACAACCATACACTCACTTGGCATAACGAAACCAACATCTTTGCTTCAAAAATTAACCATAGACAAAAATAAAAAAAATAACAATTACAAAGCAAGACCACCTTTCAATCAGTCCGAAGCGTTCATTTACACAATACAAAACACTGCGTCGAATATTCGTTATATTATATACTTATATTACATGTATCATGTATTTTTTGTGATCTAACGTATACAACACGGATATAAAATGGAAGTTTATATAAAATGACATCACAATATATATAATATATAAGAGATTGAGTGATATAGGAGTTTGTGCACTTTCCATCTATCATATTTGTATATTATATCTTATATAAGATTACACATTAACTACTTTAACTATACTATTACAAAATCTAATCATTCGATTGGTATAAAATATTACTTAGACATTCTGTAAAAAGTTTAGTGTATGTTTTTTTTTGTTTATGCTTTACAAAAGTACTATTCGTTTCAAACTAAAGTACACCACCTATTAAAATGTTTGATAGACAAGTTATTATATATGGAATGTTAAGGGCGTTCACACCTGTTCATGTCATATCGAACTGTGACAACGTCGCAATTATCTGTCAATTTCCAAAGATAAACAACTGAGTAGTTCTGAATAAACAATGAACACTCTGATAGTTAAGCAAAACGTTAATCTTGCAATGACATTTTTATTAGTCACTAAAATTATTGGTTTTGCTAGTAAAAAAATACTTGGGAATTATAAAAGTTAAATATGAAGTAGTTGCAAAATATTTAGTGGTAGACTTACGTGAATAACGCTATATATATATATATATATATATATATATATATATATATATATATATATATATATATATATAGTTCTTTTTAAATAATAATTCATTAAAATTAAAAACTGTTCAATTATTTTTAAAAATTCACAGATAATAAATACAAAAAAAATGGCACAATTTGGTATGCTATAACGCTCTTAAGGTGGCCTACTCAAGATTGATATAAAATTTGTTACTATTTAGTATGTAAAAAATTATTACACATTTGCTATATTTATATTAAAAATAGTAAGGTTCTGGGAATTTATTACAATAGTACAATATAACGTAATAGCATTATAAAGTGTGGGGGGGGGGGGGAGTAGGGAAAGTATATGCTCAGTATGTAGTGAAATATTTACAATTACCGTATTCGAGAACAAATTTACTTCTGGTAAAGTAGTAACAACAAAACAGATATTGTTAAACCAATCTATTTGCGAATAAACTATTGAAAACCGTTCAGTGCGGATGCACCTTGTTCCCCGCCTTAAAAAAAAATCACGCTTAGTAAGTACTCGGTAACCAATGAAAAATATGAAATTAAATATTAAAATTATTTAAAATGAAGGTTTTTCTCATTGAGTACCGACCCAATCCATTTTTGAGTTCTTTTTTTTTTTAATGGGTGAAAATGGTATGGTAACCCCGCCTGCGATAACGGGATACGCTGGCCGAGCACCAGTGAAGGGTGATAGATGAGAATGAAAACAGGCCTGTTAGCTCATCATGATGAATTTATCAGGAATTAACTATGATAGTTTCCAGGCGGAACCGCGAGGAGGTCGACCTGGTTGGGTATATTGCTAGCAATAGGATTCTCAATCTCCATTACTAAGAATCCCTTTCCCCCCCATTTTTGAGTTTATAAAGAAGTGATTGTAAGATAGTATATTGACTAGAAATTTGATGATGAAAGAGCAGACACGTTGCAACTTGTTATATATTAATTGCTTGATGTGTTAAGATGCAAATTACGTTGTTGGACTAATAGTTTTATTTGAGCAATACAGGGTGATTTGGTACAATCCACAGGCCTCTCGGTTTTGATAGTAATGAGGTATAACTGTCCTATTTCTAGTACCCCCATATAAGGTCAAACTCCACGTGGTTCTTCTTGGAAATTATCGCGGTTAATAATTGTTAAATATACCGATGGCGATGGCAGGGCCAATATTCGATTTTCACACATTAAAAAAAAAGACAGATCTCTCGCGCTGAGTGTGTAACAAAAAAGAACCAGTACAATTTCAGAGGCGGATTGTACAAATTTGAATCGCATTTTTTCGCGTGTTATCGGCAATTCTAACCCTTGCGGAATGAGCTAAATGTCTTTTAAATTAAACAATGAAATAAAAGTAAACAAACAAAAACAAAAGTGAATAAGTATATAAAGGCATATCCAGTCAATTGAAATTGGCGACACAATGGTCCAGAATTGGTCATCAATCGTACCGTGTCGTAGTAAATATACAATATGTAACTATGGCATATTTAAAATTATTTATTATTTTTCCCAACAACATTTTTTTGCGTATAGTAGAAAGCTCCATTCTGATCCTGGAATGGCACCCGATAATTATGGGGTGATCATGGACCATCCGGCCCACACTTCAATATGCCTATGACTTCTTGTTATCGGAAAACAAAGGGCAATGTTTAGCTTCTTATCTCCTTACGGAGACCAAGCTGCGCACTGTGGCACAGCAATGTATTCTCATGATGACGTTGAAAGTGTTCATTGGGTCTCAAGTGTGCGCAAAGCCTTAACAAGACGTAAGTTATATTTATTTTCGTACAGACTACGTGTACAATCATATTAACATGTTTACTTACACATATCGATAACAAAACTAAAAGAAATATAAGTATCTAGATGCTTATGAACTAATTAAATTATATAATTTACTTTGGATTTCTAATTTTAATAAAAATAATAAAGCCAAAACGATAAATCACAATAGGGCAAGACCGAATAATTCGAGAAACTTATATTGCACTCAGTCACTTAAATGATATGAAAAAAATTTACATAGAAATTTTGCCAAACTGATCTAGAAATTTTAGATAAATCAATGTATGTCCACATTAAAAATACGAGTCGAACATTAAATCTAATTAATTCATTTTTTTTTGTTTAAAACAAAATTAAAGTTAACAGTGTAAAGAGACGTTCGAGTACAATTTTTCACTGCCTACATTTCGCAAAAAAAAAAAAAAACTTAAAATGCCTCAAAATAAATTAAAATATAATCAAAGACTAAAAAAATTTATCTACCTAAATTCAATTATAAAACAATATAATAATTATGTTAAATATTATATAAGTACAACTGTATTTATTGATGTGAATGATGTTTTAACCATAGATTATATAGATAGAGTATCATACAAATGCTTTGCTAAAAACAGGTCAACTTTTTTATCCATGCTGCGTAAATAGGGTTACCATAATGCACATTTACTACTATGTGGAATAAATTATATCGTAAGTACAATTTAAATTAAAAAATAAATATTATAATAAAGTCTTATAATCTAATCACCTAGCAGTATTAAATATACTTTACGGCCTATTCTCATGCCTACTAAATAGACATAAAAAATTGCAAGCCGTTTCGGAGAACTTCAACCACAAACACCGTGACACTAGATTTTTATATATAAGATTTGAAAGTATCATATAAACAGTTCATAATGATTCGTAATAAAGCTTATCTTTTACTAAATACTTCGTTTTATATTTGAGTATAGACATCAATTATTTTAAGTAATTCAAAATGGCCGCCATTTTGTTGCTTTGTAAGCAATACGTACGTTTGTAAATTTATATTTTATCAGAAAAATAGTTCCACAAATTATAAATTTAAAAAAATTTACCTGATATGGAAAACTTTTAATCTAATTACTTGCAACGCTGAAAAAAGTGCGTTTGATACAATAAAAAAACAAAAAAAAACATGTCAACCAACACAACGTTTGGTTGATTAAATGTTGACCCGTTTTTTACAGTCAATGCTCTATCTATATAATCTAAGATTTTAACATACAATAGTCATAAATAAATTTCCAACTAAATTTTGTAATCGATCAATTGACTAAATTAAAAATGAAAAAAATAAAATACCGAGAAAAAAACTGTAAAATATGAATGCCTCAAAATAAGGGATTTATTACATTGTCATATAATATAGAATCATATCTAAACTAACGATTTATTAAGCATTTTTAATATAAATATAAAGTATTGTATCAAAGACAATGTAATGAGATATTTTTTATTTTAATCTGTATTAATGATTTTCAGATATATAAATAAATATATACGATCATATTGTATGATAGTGTAATAAGCTCTTAAAAGATTAAACTAATAAAAAATTTGGTTTACGACTATTTGGCATTCGCACTACGTCGGTGGTGAAGCGGTCATTGTACCCACTTAAATTCAGTCTTTAAAAACAATTACTAATGAGCAATTTAAATGGAATTAATAATAAAAAAGACAAATCGGAGTAAGTAACAGTTCCAATACAATGTAATATGTAAAATGTTTTATTTTTCACAATTTTATTTAAAATTACGTTAGCACGTACAAACAATTTCAGTGCATCTTTTCATAAGGCTGTCTATACTTGGACTAAATACAGACTATGTGGCCATTAGCTGCGTACTTATATATATATATATATATATATATATATATATATATATATATATATATATATATATATATTAGTATGTCAATTTATTTTTGTTTTTAATCATCAGTTCATACGATCAATATTTTGTTTACGTTTAAAAAGATTTATACAATTGATTATGTACTTTGTCTATGAAAATGTAAAAAGAATGTCTATTTTTAAATGACCAAATATTGACAAAATAAAGATATGTTTACTAAATATGCAATAAAAAAATTACATATGGGTACAGTTTTGGTATATTAATTAGATACTGGCCACTTACAAACATTTAAAATGATTCTTGATATTTATTTGTAGAATTATAAGTAAAACGATGGAACTATTATGATATACTAAAAAAATATAGTTATTATATAAGATTGAAAGCCATTTTAAAAATACCGAAGAACAATCGTTAGTTCGAAACCTTTTTGAATGCAACATTTTAGTTGTTTTATTAAATTATATCGTGTGATTTTGTGTACAGTGAACACTGTACTAGGAATTTGCAAAAACTCTTTTATTTAATAAGATTCAAAGCTATTTTAAAACCATAGGAGTATAGTCATTAATATGAGTCCTCTTTAGCGGCAATATTTATTTTATTAAGAAATATTATATTTTTGTACACATACTTTATCTTTTATCTCTTTTTTTTTTGTATGTCTGTCTGTTATTATTTGTGTGCTGTAGTTAATTGAACAAATAAATTATTATTATATTATTATTTATAACTATTTTTATGATTTCATGTGTAAGTAGTAGTTTATTTGTGATTTTATTATCTTCACGCCGTATGTATAAGTTTATTAATTTTTTTAGCCTGAGAAATATACAATTATTAATAGAAATGCAAATGTTAATATACGATCGATTCAAAAATTTGTTAAATAAAATTTCATTAAATCCCATTTATGTAATAAAATTACCTAACCCTTTTATAATCCTTAAAACCTGAACAGACTAGATAGACCTTGTGCGTATATTTGTCCATCAAAATAGATTACCAATTATTGGATCAAGTATTTAAGGACAGTTGTCTATTCCAGAGACTAGATTTTAGATCCAAGTTTTATATTTCAAACATGGCGTGTATAGGTACCTAGTCAAACATGACATGTCACGTCAGAATAACTCCACTTTCAATCCATTATTCGTACAAAATAAATAAGTACTATCAAAATAAGAACTATAATATAATATCATAATTTTGCCATAAAAAAATATTTAAAAATTATTAAAAAATAAATTCATTTACCGAATTTTGATTGCAATAATTCGTTTGTAAGTAATCTCAGTGGTTAATTATAAATGTAAATTTTTACAATACAAAGATTTTTGTTTTATTAATAATAATTCGTACATATTTTACTAACTCGTAGTGTGCGATGGTACACATAATGATTTCCCGTAAAGATGGTACAGAAGTGCCAACCAATATTGGTGGAGTAAAGTGATAAAAAAATAGATGACTCGTGTTGAGTGGCTACAAGATTCTTGACAACGCGGAAGATCAGCGACGGAATATCGCTAATGTAATGCTATCCGTATTCTATGATAATTTTGCGGTAACAATATTAATAAATAAATGACTTGTGTTGATTGTGTAAGTGTGTACATACAAGATTCTTGACGACACGGAAGATCCGCGACGAAAAATCGCTAATGTGATGGTAGTCATGTTCTGTAATCACATTGCGGTAACAATATTAATAAATAAATGACTGTGTAAGTGTGTTCATGCAAGATTCTTGACAACACGGAAGATCCGCGACAGAAAATCGCTAATGTGATGCTAGTCGTGTTCTGTAATCATATTGCAGTAACAATATTAATAAATAAATCGCTGTGTAAGTGTGTTTATACAAGATCCTTGACAACACGGAAGATCCGCGACGGAAAATCGCTAATGTGATGCTAGTCGCGCTATGTAATCACATTGCGGTAACAATAGTTAATAACTATGTACGTACAACATTTTTACCAAGCGTAAAATCAGTAACGGCATATTGCTATGCTACTAGCTATGTTCCATAATCATTTTGCTGTCACGATTGTAAATAAATTAATAATTTGCTATGACTGCGTAACGGATGATTGGATACAGAAAATCCGCTAGTCGTGTTCCATAGTCGTTTTGTGGTAATTTAAAATCGGCATCATATTGATTGCAGATATATATATGCAGTTAAAATGATAAGGGAAGTATCAATTGACATTTTTGTACACAATGGAAGGAATTGACGAATGGAAGACAGAAAAGGAATAATATGTATGAACAATAGACGTCGTTAATGCACACTGAGCACTTGCAACGTGTTGTACACATCTATACAGGATTATATAGTTTTTTATCAATATATAAAAATTTTGGCGCCAAAACTATTTGATATTTTGAAAATTAAAAAGATTTTAGAAAAGTGTAGTAATTAGCAAATTCGAAATATTACAAAAAAATGACGAGACAGCATATTTTTACGTTAGAATTTATTATAAATTACTGCACAAACATATTTTTGGAATATTTGTTTTTAAATAGAAGGTCGATATATACAAAAAAATGATTTAAAATATATCTAATGCTAAAACCAATAAAATAGTAATCATATCTTTCAAATTTACCTTCTCGTTGCAAATGCTCAAGTATATAATTAGATAAAAGTCTGAAATAATTAAATTACGTCACCATTATGATCTCACCTAAGTCATCGATATTTCAATTAAACATTCTTTAGAAATATATACGTCTATCTCTTTCATTCCATTTAGAAAACAAATAGTGGTGACGTAATCGTATTTTGCTAATAATACAAAATAGGGATGAGACATTATCGATAAATATACGATCTGCATTCAGTGCTTTAAATACTTTATACAAATCCGTGGTCACACAAAACCAAATAGCTTGGGACTAGACACAGTAAGCGAACTAAAAGAGAGTTAAGTATTTATATACAACAATAAGTGTACGTAGCAAAGATCTATAGACCAATCTCGCCGCTCCCGTATTATGCTTAAAATGGTAAATTGCATTATGTCTTGATACTCTCGCGTGATACTGTAAAAAAAAAAAAATATTATCCATAAAATATTATCGTTTTATATACCAACAGTGTGGAACTGTACATGAGGTAGTTTTTTTTGTGTATCGTCCCACTCGTGTCTCTGAAGTAGCTGTATTTGCATGACTGTATCAGTTTGGAAGGTGGGATATGGCAGTGAAATTACGCATTTATCATTCCATTAAAAATACACATTGGCGTTCCATTGTTTCTGCCTACCCTAATGGGAGACAGGCGTGACAGATATGTATGAATGTATGTAAAAAATACACGTACTTAACAATAAAAACATATCTACAAACATTTATTGGAATTTTTGTCTGTCTATATCGGCAAGATACAAAAACTACTGGACTAAATTGTATGATTACATACAATACTATCTTTTGCCATGAAATAATTTTCATAAATGTGTAAACGAAGGTTAAACTTAACAACTCGTAGATAATTGCGACCAAATGATAGTATAAAATATATAAAATCAGTAAATATGAATAGTTTACACATACATGCAGAAAGTGGTGTGATGTTTGTTTGGAGCTAGGTGCGGGGGTAGCAGAGGCCGGTGCGGGCAGGCAGGGGCGGCGGGGTGTCCTGCAATAAACACAACAATTTCATATATAAACCATATTAATTATATACTTTCGTTATTTAACTAATAAAATCAATAGTTATTATTCAAATATTTTAAATTCAAATTCAAATTCAAATTCAAATTCAAAAATCATTTATTCATGTAGGACATTTTAGCCGCTTATGAACGTCAAATTTTTACATATAATTTTATTTTTTTCCCTACCGTCCAGTTCGGTATATAGATCCAACTGAGAAGAACTGGCAAGAAACTCAATTGAATTACTTTTTTTTTTAAAAGCCAGTTTATTTACAATGTATATTTATATAGGTGTCTATGTCTAACATTAAATGAAAATTCAGTGCATGAACAACTATTGCCATGCACACTCGTCATTCAAGTAATCGTTTAGTGAGTAATAGGCTTTGCTCAGTAAATATGATTTAACAGATGTTTTGAATTTATTTAAGGGTAATTTCAATATATCCTTTGGTATCTTATTGTAAATTTTTATACCTATTCCCATAAAAGACCTATTAACTTTTTCTAAACGATACTTGGGGACAGCAAGTTTGTCTTTAAATCTAGTATTAATATTATGAATATTGCTGTTTTTTGGAAATAAGTCAAGATTTTTATGAACATATAGGATATTTGAATATATAAATTGAGAAGCAACGGTGAGAATATTTGCCTCTTTGAATTTCTCTCTTAATGGGGTCACGACTCTTCATACAGTAGATCGCTCGAACGGCACGTTTTTGTAATATGAATATATTCTTAATATCTGCCGCTTTTCCCCATAGTAATATTCCATAAGAGAGTAAACTATGAAAATAACTAAAATAGACTAATCTAGCAGTATCAGTATCAGTGTACTGTCTAACTTTACGCACGGCAAAAGCTGCTGAACTTAGTTTCGCTGCAAGGCTTTGAATTTGTGCACCCCACTGTGTTTTATTATCTAGTGTGATTCCTAGAAAGACAGTAGATTCTATAAATTCGAGAGATTCGTCATTTAATTTAATATTGCAATTAGTATTAAAACTTTTAGACAGAGAGAAATTAACACATTTTGTTTTTTTAGCGTTTAACATAAGATTGTTAGTTGTAAACCAGTGCAGGAGACGCCGCAAAGCACTATTTACATCGTCATAATTATTAGTCATTCTATTAACTTTAAAAATCAATGAAGTATCGTCTGCAAACAATACTATGCCGCATCTATCCTGCATGGCATATGGGAGATCATTAATGTAAACTAGGAATAAAAATGGACCGAGAATAGATCCTTGAGGTACACCCATTTGCACAAGTGACCCGTCAGACGTAGCGTTGCTAATCTTCACTTTCTGTATTCTATCAGATAGATAAGATTTTATTAAATTTAAAGCATTGTCTTTGACGCCATAAAAAGCAAGTTTTTTAAGCAATGTATTATGATCAACGCAATCAAAAGCCTTAGAAAGGTCACAAAAAACACCTATCACATCCATTTTAGTTTCCCATGCAGCAAATACGTGTCTAAGCAACTCTGCACCTGCGTCTGTAGTTGAACGACCTTTGGAAAAACCGAATTGACTATTGTGGATTAAATTATTTAAATTGAAATAACTGACAAGTTGCATAAGGATTATTTTTTCAAAAATTTTACTGAGTGCTGGGAGTATGGATATAGGTCTATAATTTATTGGGTCACTCCTATCTCCAGATTTAAAAAGCGGTATGATTTTACTAATTTTCATTATGTTAGGAAATTTACCTTCATCTATACATTTATTGAAAATAAAAGCAAGAGAGGGCGCAATAATTTCCATTATACTATCCAGTATTTTAACAGATATACCCCATAGATCCTCTGTTTTTTTATTATTAAGCTGTTTGAATATTTTCATTATTTCTACTGACGATGTATGTCTAAAGTTAAATACAGCTGATGACTTGCTAACATTGTCTGTTAGTAAAGTTTCAGCAGCAGACGGGGAAGATTTTAGAGCCGACTAATATTTAGAGACTAATATTCCATTAATTATGTGTCGTAATTAATGGAATATTAGTAAAATAAGATTCGAATGTATGCGCGACCTCTGTGTCGGAATTTACCAATTTGTTATTAATATTTAAAGCTATTTTGCTATTTTGAAAATTAACTTTTCCAGTTTCGCTATTTATTACTTTCCAAGTGGCTTTTATTTTATCTTTAGATTTAGTTATTATTTTACCTAAATAGAGAGACTTAGCTGTATGACAAACCTTTTTAAATATTTTCGAATAAGATTTTACATGTTCATGAAATAAGGGATCGGATATATAGCTTCGTTTTTCGTAAAGTTCGTAAAGATTAGCCCTAGACTTATAAATACCAAACGTGGCCCAGTCACAAAACTTTGATTTTACACTAGTTGAAAATGTTTTTGTTTTAAATTCACTGCTAGCTTCATGTTCAATTAAATTAAAAATATGTTCACATACAATGTCCGGGTCATATTGAGGTACTATGACACTAGATATTTTATTTTTAAAACGTGCCAAATTCTTTTGTGTTATTTGGATGCATGTAATTGTTTGAGTCCCTTTGGATCCCTTAGTTTCAATTATAACTTTTTGTCCGTAATGATCAGATCCAAGACAGTCGAAATTCATTTTCACCTTTACTTCACAATTACAAAAAACATTATCTATACAAGTGGCAGAATTTCCTGCGACCCTAGTGGGTTCTAAAAAAAGATTGTGCAAATTAAATGATTTAAATAAGTTAATCAATCTTAAGCTTATTGAGCATTCCGATAATAAATCAACATTAAAATCGCCACATACAAATAATGTTTTATTCCTCCGTGCGACTCGTCTCAATGCTTCCTCCATAGCCAGTTCAAAAGAATCAAAACAAGCCGATGGCGGACGATAAACGCAAATTATTATACAAGTAACTAATTCTACGCAAGATAGTTCAATTGTTTGCTCAATAGAAATATTTACAATGTCTTGACGGTTTTTATATTCTACATCATTTTTTAAAATAATAATTGACCCGCCATGAATGGCATTGTTCCTAGCAAAAAAACTAGCTATATTATAATGTTCAAAAGGACAAATTATTTCATATTGTTTAAGCCAATGTTCTGTCAGACATAACTAAGATTAAGTTTACTAGTTTAACACTTGTTTACTATGATGTAAATAAATAATAAAAAAAAAAAAATAAGAAATGAACGAAAACAAATGAAAATAAAGGATAGGAAATAATCATAAATGGTGTTTCACAAAAAAAAAAGCCACTTTTAAGGTCACCAAACCAGTTATTTTGATTTTAAAACTAAACAACTAAACCCATTTTGATAAAATTTCTATGGGACCAATCTGAAAGTATAACTCCGTCTGTTATAAATTGATTTGGAAAACTCTTTTTTAATCTGAAAGGATATACTTTCAGATTAGCTCTATGAAATATATATATATATATATATATATATATATATATATATATATATATATATATATATATATATATATATAGATCAAATAGTTTATTTTTTAGATGAAAATAATTGGTTTTTTCATCGATGAAGTTGATTCATTTGTGGAACACAAATTTATATTATAAAAGGATTACCCAACAAAAAAAAAAATCAAAATAAAAACAAACCTTAAGCTATATGTGTTTGCATATTTAAGACTACGTCTTAACACTAGATGCCATATTCTGAAATAAATTTAAAATAAAATAATAAATAAATTGCAATAAAAACGAAAGAGAACATAAGGGTTAAGTCATACAGCTAGTCTGTGATATTTATACTTTGTATTAAATTCATGGAAACTCTTTTGTAATTAAATAAAAGTTATTAAAAAAAAATAAGCTACAGTGGTACTAATAAAGTCTTGTAGTTTAAATTTATTTACAAACAAAATATAATGTATTAGAAATAAAAAAATAAGCAATTCATACAAACAAGCATTATACAGAAATAAAAAAAAAAATACTAATACCTGAACATTGTTGTCGTGTAGATAATGTTGCGGCGGCTGAGGTCGCGGCATCGGTTCATCGCTGTCGTCGTCTTCGTCGAAATCTTAAATAAAAAAAAAAAATGTACGACGTAATGTAATCAAAAATTTCCATTATGTACGTACGCACCCACACACGCATGCACGCACGCACGCACGCGCACTCACACACATACACACACAAGGATGACAGGTGAGGATAAAGCAGGTCAATTAGCGCATCGTGATGAATTTAACAAGAATTGTTCACGATGGTTTCTAGGGGGAACCACATGGAGGTCGACCTAATAGGGCATATAGGGGGGAAGGGATTGTTAGTAATGGGGTCTAATGAACCCATTGCTAGCAATACACTATCAGGTCGACCTCCACGTGGTTCCCCCTGGAAACCATCGTGAACAATTCTTGTTGTGAATTCGTCACAATGGGCTAACTGACCTACTTCATCCTCACCTATCATCCTTCACTGGTGCCCCGCCAGTGTATACCGATAGCGCAGGCGGGGTTACCATTCCATTATCACCCATTAAAAAAAAATAGGGCATATTGCTAACAATGGATCTGTCAAACTCCATTGCTAACAATCCCTTTACCCCCTGGACAGGAAAGGGTGGCCCAATCTATGCCGGGACCACACGGCCAATATTTCACGTTCAGACACTTAAATGTGACACTCACCTCTCTGTTTCCTGGGCTCGCCTTTTACCGTGTCTTCAGTGTCAGATCCTTCTGGAAAAAATGCAAAAAGAATTAAATAACCACATTAATTCTGAAAACAAAAACACTAACCGACTTATTTTAAATACACAATCAGAACTTAATGCGATGACATACCTTTCCAGGTAAATAGTACTTACATACCTGCTTCTTTATTGGCGACGTTTCGACGTGGAATCCACCACGTCGTGATCACGACAGGACAGGGACAGCTAAGTCCCGATTGTGTATTTAAAATATGTGTAAACAACGCCAAAGTTTAAAATTAACTAAACGACTTATTCATAAAAACTATAATATCCTTTAAAACTATTAAATACTTTGTCACTTTCTTTCAAATTGAGAATATCATAAAAGAAAAGGACAAAACACTTTAATAACTAAAATAAATTTATGAAACTTGATGTTTTTATGAGTAAGGGGGTTAATTGATTTCTCGCAAATTATTACTATGTTTTATTTTGTAAATGGTTTCGCTATTTTATGGCAATATGAGAAATTTATTCACAATAGTATAGTTATGGTATGTTTTGTGTGGCTAGTAAAATAAATTATAATTGAATAAAGTGAAAATTTGATAATATTTACTTTCTATTTACTACTTCCATGTCAATTTATTCATGCAATCTATCCAAAATGATAATTATTAACAAAGAAACAGGTACCTACCTATTTTAAAAGGTAAAAAAAAAAAAAAATTACAAATAGTAAACATTCAACGTAACCAATTGAAAATTTTCCGATTATTTATTTCTAAAATATTTCACAAAAAAAATATACCACATATTTTAAACATGCATATTTAAATCATATCTAACTCACTCTCATATTTTCCCGCCAAAACCCTAATATTTGTGGTCATTTAGAAAACAAAAAAAAGGCAAAGGAAAATTGAACACACAGCCATAAGCTCACCAGAATTGAGTTCTCTGACGAGTGTGGACATAGCGTTTGTAACGGAATCCGCCGCGTACAGGAGATCACTCCGGAGACTGCGGTTGTCTATGCCCACTGATAAATAAGGTTTTCTATTATCTTATAGTATGATTTGCACTTTCTGAGTTCAGACATTTTATTTTCCTTTTAAACATATGTAAAATATTCCAAAAGCATTAAAAATAGCTAGTTTAAAGATTTTTTCTTAATAATATAAAATTTACTCACTTGTCGTGGGTCGTTGGTTTTGATGAAAAGGCCTGCCATCCCCACCCATACTTTCCATTCCTCCTAAAAATTTAAACAATATATCATAAAATGTTTAAACATTCAGTTTTTACACTAAAAACTTCTAAGTAGTCTAAAAATACTTTAGCAAAAACATCCAACTTTTCCTCTTAAAGTGAAGCTTGAATTATTTTAACATGATGTATTCTCACCTAGACTGTGAGTCATGTCGATGCGCTCGCGTTCTCCCAAAGAGGGCGTCTGTGGCGCACTCCGCACTGTACCGCGACTGGTCGGTTCTCTGTTATATAAAGAGGTAGCATTAAAATAATTATTTATTTCCGCTATTTATTAGTTATGTGCGTAACTTTCCAAAAGGACTAACTTTTCAATGTGATATATTGTGATGAAACATAATTTATCGAATCCTACCTTTGATAAAAAAATTCAAATCTACATGGTGCATCGTTGTATTTGTATTTGTATTTGTAAAAAACAATACTCGACTCCATAGTATCACTATCCAAAATATTTAAAAAAATTGCATAAAACATTGTAAAAAGAACAACAAATATATTTCAGATTTTGGTTTTTATTTTTTAATTTTCCTTCTGAAAAGGAAAAGTGTTGATTACCCTTGTGAGATGAAAATCTCCAAAGGGAAACTTTGTACAAAAGTCATTTGCTTGGGCACCTCTGTCCCATTCGTGTTTCAACCGTAAAGCAGTTGTGTTTGCTTGACTGTGTTTCGGTTTGAAGGGTAAGATATGGCGTGAATTTACAGGATACACAGGAATAACACCTGAGTCCTCGGGAATGGCAACACTTTTCATCAGGTAGGCCGTCAGCTTGTTTGCCATTCTAAGTTCTCGAGTCACAGTCAGTACCATGAATTAGTGCAGGTAGTAACCTTTTAGGGTCGGATGGGGGGGGGATTGTTAGTTATGCGTACTAGCAGACTCACTGCTAGAGATATATCTGGTTGACTTCCATGTTGCCCCCCCCTGAAATCCACGACAGTTAATTCCTGCTGAATTCATTACAATGGGCCAACTGACTTATTTCATCTTCACCTATCATTCCTCAGCTATATGTCAGCGTATTTCGATAGCGCAGACGGGGATACAATTTCATTTTCATCTTATATAGAAAAGATAGTAACCTTTCTGGAGCGGAAGGCTGTGGTTGAGCGCCGGGCAACGGTGGACTTTTGGTGGAACGAGGCGACGAGTTCGGAGTGGATCGCGGTGACGACTGCTGAGTCTGGAAAATAAAATATAACGGTACACTTACAAGACAGTATTTAAAACATTTTACTGAATTAGGAGTTATTTTTGAAAGGCGCATAAAAAATGGATCATTAAATAAAAAATACAAATATCTATTTGAATTTAGATAGCTTTGCCTACGAACCGTTTCGCTTGATGTTCTTGTTTCTACTAAAATATGTGTATTGCATTCTAGCTTCATAAAAAAAAAAAATAAAAAACATTTATATCTCAGGTAAATTGATAAAAAGTATTTTAATTCTCCTACCATTAGTAGTAATTGGACCTCTACTAATACAAATTATAGTAGTCATACATCTACTAACCATAGTGAAATTCAATTCTAATCAACTAACTTATTATACTTTACATTGACTTAGTTTGAAATTTAAATTGTAATTTGAATTTTATTTGACATTTTTATCATTTTATTATTTATAGTAACTTTATTGACCGTTTGTAATGCATGACCAAAGTGTGCACTTGGTACTAGTAGTGATTTGTTGTATTATGTAGTAAATAATTGAAAAAAAATATATAATGTACCTATATAAAATGGCCAATGGATAAATTCAATAATTAATAATTTGCATGCCATTTGATGTGGCGAAACATAATGGACATATTATAAACTTCACAAATGCAACTACAATGTTTCTAGCAAATAAATTTCATTTCATTTCATCTCTCATCACAAAGAATACTTAAAGGTCGAGAGAGGTGCAGCAGCGTCCCTCTTAAAACATCACCAAAGGTTCACAGACAACCGTTGGCAACCCGCCTGCTAAGTGTGGCAACTACTGACAAAACTCCCTTTACGAGGAAGGCCTATAGCTAGCAGCGGGCAGTGGACGCCTGATATCAACTTACACTTAGCCCCAATGTACCATAAAAAAGAAATCCATTTTAATTGTGATAAAATTAATATGAGGGTAATATGAAAGCAAATAATAATGATTGCAAAAAAAAAATTGAAATAGGGAAAAATTTAATTGAGAAACAATTTTATACTCGCTTAAAATAATAAATATTATCACTTAAGTATAAGCCATGACTATGTTATGCCAATAAATAGATGGCCGAAGTTGGAGGTTATAGATAGTAACATTTTATCTTTGGACAAATACAATTGTAGAGTTTATTGGCATTCCAAAGCATGATTTACGATTATCCACTTTTAATAAATAGTTACTGTGTACAGTCGCATATAAAAATATAACAGTTTTTAACACTTTTATTGCCGTGTTGCAATTAATTTTTTTATTTATTAAGTAAACTAGCTTTGTTTTTATATTGCTTGAATCTGGGTTTTCTATTTTATGCTTTCAGTCTTGACTGCTTTACCATAACACCAATGGGCATATACCAGTGTCAAAAGATTACATTTTATAATAGTATATTTATTTATTTATACTTTATTGTACACTAAATTGTTATAATTTATATACAATAAAGATGTACAACAGGTGAGCTTAACTCTGTAAGAGTTCTGTTCCAGCAAACCTTGAGTAAAAAGGAGCATTAATTAGTGCGCTAGTACTAGTACTTACTATATACCTACCTAATTACAAAGTAAATTTACTGGGTACAGAGGAATAACATCTGAGTCCTCAGGAATAGCAACGCATGAGCAGTACCATGGACATAACAGAGTATACCGTTTCGTCCATGATACCCCCGACGCGTTGCCATTCCTGAGGACTCAGGTGTTATTCTTCTGTACCCAGTAAATTCACGCCATATCCCGCCCTTCAAACCGAAACACAGCCATGCAAACAACTGCTTCACGGTTAAAACACGAATGGGACAGAGGCACCCAAGCAATCGACTTTTGTACAAAGTCTCCCTCTGGTATAGATAGAGCATAGAACCTCAAAAACGAATCAACATTTTGTCAGCTAATTAGCTGACTCGTTTTTTTATTAGTGTTCTATATACTTACGCACACAATATACCTTGACGTATCTATATTTAGTTTTAGTTTTTAGTTTTTGCGCATTAAAAAGGTGCAGAATTTATAAAACAAAATAAATATAGAAGTTATGAAGGAATCACTCATAACTATTTATCACAAAAATTATATGAAAAAGATGACCCGCTTTTCTAGAAGCATTTATATGGAGACACTCCATCTATATAATCTAAGACTGTAACATACCTGTGGTAAACGCTTTGAATTGTTTTAAAAATAGTTTACGTAAACTAAATATTATGAACATACGTGAGACCAAATAATTACTTCCTTCTTTGATAGTACTACGTATAAATATACTTTACAATAGCAAGAAAGCAGTTGTAAACAAACTTCAATACTTTCCATATCCCCAGTCAATTTTTTTAGCAACAAGTTAACTTAATAAAGGATGAAGTTCCAAAAGATCTTGGTCTTTATTGTTTTACTGTTAAGTGTGGTTTCAGCTTATTATGTAGATGATTCGAGCATGGAGGACTGGAGCGTAGAGGCCGACAATGATCGCGTTTTTAAGTGCCTTCTTGAAGCGCTGAAGGGTCTGGTGAAATGTCTTGTAAAAAAAGACCTCACTGAGGACAACAGCAATGATAACAATAACTGGGACCATAGTTCCGTAAATGGTAAGCTTTATATATTATTTCAATGAACAAATAAATAATAGTAGACTAGTACAGAAACCAAAACTGTAAATGAAATTATCAATGTATTTTACAGATTTACCTATGATACGTATGATATTTACCTATCTACAGATGCAACCCTGAATCGAAAACGAACACAATGGTTTTTTTATGTGTGTTTATGTGTTAGCGTTTAACGTAAAAACTGCTTTCATTTGTGTAATGATATCAATTGTCGTGTCAAGTTCTCGAACCGTTTTCGTTATACACGAAGGCCTCTGACGTGGCTTACGGTACGATGTCTTTACATGCTCTTAGAAGCAAGTAACCGTCATTTTTAAATTTAGAAATGAATCTAAAATTTTCTTTTTTTTTTCATTGTTTATTTCACTTTCCATTATTATATATTAATATTGTGTATTTTTATAATTGTATGTTATGTAGATACATATACACGTGTTAGTAAGTTTTTTATTTATTTACTATTATTTAATTATTTTGTAAGTTTTTTCTGTACCTTCATATTCTCTGCACTACCCATGGTTGACAGGTACAAGTAGAATACGTCTTATGGCGTTACGTCCTCTATATGTACAACTTGTCACTTGTGTACATGAAGATAATTAAACAAATTCAGAGGCAAGGGTCACGGAATACTATTTTGATATCCCAGACAATATTCAAGCGCTATCCAACTAAACTTTTAGGTTTATTTGGATAGCCTAGTGGAATTTAGAGTTTTTCAAAAAACACATTCATATAATGCAAATATTATTATAAAATAAAATAAAATCGTAAAATAATACTGTTTTTTTTTTTAAATAATATAAGATTGTGTTCCACGAAAAAACACGACTTCAATTGAGACAAAATCAGTTACTTTGATTTAAAACTAGTAAAACTAAACTACTGAATTATGTTATGATAAAATTTCTATGAGACCAACTTGTAAATATATCCTTTTAGATAAAAAAATAAAAATTCCAAATCGGTTTACAACCTATGAAGTTATGAGTATATTCCTAAAACTAGTTTCTGGAACTAGATGGCGTTGTGTAATATGGGCCAGTAGTTCCGCCCAACGAGTATTAGAATTGAACATGACAGAGGGCGAGCCTACCATCGTCACTCAGATTAATTTGATCTATTATCGATCAAAATCGATCATTAGCTGTTTTTAATTTCTTATACAGATGATGAAAGTAAACCAGGAAAATGCATCCTCGAAGCCATAAAAACTTTTGTGAAGTGTATGACTGGACCAAGTGTGGGCACAGCTATGACAGAAAAACTATCCGGATTGGAGGATATTATGAGCCAATGGCAGATCTATAAAGACTACGTCGATAACATGAGAAATAGAAGAGATTTTCTGTACTAGATAGCACCCTTCTAATAGAGAAATTCAGGTCATAGACGAAACTCTTTTGACTAAGTTAATTTTTAAGCTTGCTAAGTTGTGCAAACTTGGCAATTATTTGTCAACATTCAAAAACAATAATTTTCAACGTTCTAAATTATTTGATATATGTAGTTCTTTTTTTTATACAATTTAGAATGGCAAACAAGCTGATGGCCCACCTGATGGAAAGTGATAACCGTCGCCTATAGACATGAACAGTACCATGGACATAACAGAGTATACTGTTTCGCCCATGATACTCCCCATGCGTTACCGTTCCTGAGGACTCAGGTGTTATTCCTCTGTACCCTGTAAATTCATGCCATATCCCACCCTTCAAACCGAAACCCAGCTATAGAAACACAACTGCTTTACAGTACAAACAATATATGTCGATAAACTCTTAAAAATATGTAATTGTTTTCTTTTTTGTTTTCAGATTACGGATTAAAAAGATTGAAATGACGCAATATTTTCTAGTGACAGAGAAAAATATCTGTAATATATTAAAAATTTTACATATTGAAAAATTAAATTGTGTATTTAATTTTGAATTTTTGATTTGAAAAATATGGATAAAATAAGTAGGTACCTACCTTTAGCATCCTCATAAGCCCCTCCAGCTGCTGCATGAGGTGCTTCCTAGACTCCTGCAGGGAGGACAGGTGACCTTCCAGCTCGTCCTTGCGTTGCCGTAACGCCCGCAGCTCGGACACAAGCGGCGGCGCGCTAGTACCGCTTGTGACACCCGCGCCCGCACTCGCTTCCGCTTCCTGTTGTCGTCTGTACCATAATACATAATATTAATAAATAATTTATTTTTATGAATTCGTCCTCTGTGCTTTATGAGTATAAAACACACATTTTTGCAATTTATGTTTCTGCAGCCAAAGAGATTTACTTGCATGGCAGTGTTTCGGTTCAAAAAGTGGGGTATGGCAGTGAAATTACAGGGTACACAGACAAAACATCTCTTTAAAAAAAATACAGGTAATTCTTAAAAGATAAAGTGGAAAGTGGCAACACTAGACTGCTGTATTAAAATATATCCATGGATATGAATGATATGAAGGAGGAAATAAAGAACATAAAATATTTGACTGTTTATGGGCAATCATAGATGTAATGTAAATAGGACTCTATTTTCCGCGATTAGCCTCTCATTTGGGCCGTTATGCGTATGAAAGGGCAATCATAGACATACAAGTAGATTTTATTTCAGTATGGGTGTGTGTATTTACGTACCGGAGTCTGGCGATCTCTCGCATAATTTCCCTATTTTTAGCCTCTAGTTGCGAGATTAGTTCTCGCTGCTGCCGCGCTGCGTCCACCTCAGAGCCTTCCGATGATGACCGTCCCTGCAAAAAATTAATTATCATATTAAATCACGATAAATAATAAAAATAAAAAAAAAAAAAATAAAAATTCAAATAAGACCCCAACACTCTACTCATATACACACATTTTCCAGGTATATCAGACTATTTGTGAAAATCTTAACAAAGTGTAGTGAATTTTGAATACATACATACATACATTTTAAACGGAAAGAAAACGTTTTATATATCGAAAATTTAAAAATCCCCGAGATGAGATCGAGTACAAGCTTCTCCGCGATCGTTGTCATAAGTTATTGCGAAAATGTTACAGTGACTATCGACACCGCACTGAAATTAATGTAGTTAAAGATCCAAAATCGTTCTGGCGTTATGTTAATGAAAAGAGATCGAATTCAAATTCTATACCATCCTGTATGCGTCTACGGGACTCAGTGGCTGATAGCGGGGAACAAATCGTGAACCTTTTCGCTCGGCATTTTTCGTCTGTTTATGAAAATATCTCATCTAATAATACCAATTACTCTCGTTCTTTTCCTGACAACCTCGGAAAATGCACTGGTACTATTCGGATTGCTGTAAAAGAAGTCTTTAAAAAAAATAAAAAACTAAACATATTTAAAGGGTCTGGACCCGATAACATTCCTCCATTATTTATAAAACGCTGTGGGTCTGTGCTTTCTCTACCGCTCACTCTGATATTTAATCGTAGTCTAGATGACGGAGTATTTCCTGATGAATGGAAACGTGCTAGAATTGTACCCATCTACAAAAAGGGGGATCCTAACAATATAATGAACTATCGGCCTATATCGTTATTATCATGTTTCTCAAAATTGTTTGAATCCTTAGTTTGCCCAATTGTCAGTTCTCAAATTGCCAATTTTATTTCTGTTGACCAGCACGGATTTAGGAAAGGTCGCTCTGTTCAGACTAATTTGGTTACTTTTACCAACGATTTAAGCCATGAACTAGATAAAGGACACCAAATCGATGCTATATACACTGATTTTAGCAGCGCTTTTGATAGAGTTAACTATGATATTCTGCTGAAGAAATTGGAATATTGCGGATTTCATGGGAGACTGTTAAATTGGTTTGAGTCATATCTCAAAAATAGGACTTTAAATGTAGCTGTCAAGGGATATGAGTCAGAAAGTTATTATGCTCTATCAGGAATACCACAGGGCTCCCATCTAGGACCGATATTCTTCTCTTTATTTATAGATGACATAACTACTGAAATCAAGCACTGCAGATGCTTATTATTCGCAGACGATTTAAAGCTTTATAAAGTAGTGCAATCATTGGATGATATGGCATTAATACAAAGCGATCTGATCGGGATGGAGTGTTGGTGTAAGCGCAATTGCATGTCACTTAACATCGACAAGTGCAACCACATAAGGTACACCAGAAAGAGAAAACCCCTTCAGACCTACTATACTATTGGTGATAAAGTGCTAGGAGAAGTAAACGAGGTCAGGGATTTGGGTGTACTAATGAACAGTAAATTAACGTTCACATCCCATATTGAGTCTGCGGTACGGAAATCGACTCAAATGTTAGGTTTCGTAAAACGGACTTCCAGGGGATTTAAAGCAAAAACTAAAATTAGCTTATACAACTCCTTAGTCCGAAGTCAGCTAGAGTACTGCAGTGTGGTTTGGAGTCCATTCTACTCGTGTCATTCACAGCGAATAGAAAGTGTACAGCGTGCTTTTACTAGGCACCTGGCTTGGTTTGCACAAAACATATCGCATAGATGCCCATACAACCAGCGTCTTAAATTCTTTACTATGCGGACCTTGTTCGATCGTCGCCGCCTGCATGATTTGGTATTTCTCCATAGGATTACGCATCATGATATGGACTGTCCTGAGCTTTTGAGTGAAATTAAATATGTAGTTCCTCACGGTATCCCTAGGTATCCCATCAATAAGATATTTTATGTGCCACTGTGCAAAACTAATTTAGGATTGAGTGCTCCTCTTGCAAGAATATGCAATAACTACAATCATATATGCGGTATAAATCCGGATATAGACGTAAGCCATGACTCGTTGGCAGTGTTTCGCGGTAAGATGCTGAAGACCATGTAGATTTGATGATATTGTCCAGTCTTGTTTTATATTTAATTGAATTTTATAGGAAAGAATATGTAATTGTAAATTTAATTTATTATATTAATTATATTATGACATTTATATACATATAATCTGTAGTCAATGTTGTGTACGCCTGCTATAGGTATGCATATCAGCATACTACATAAGAAATGTTTTTTTAATTTATGTATAATATGTATACTGATGGTGTGCCTAATTCAGAATAAATAGAATAAATAAAATAAATAAATACATATCTGTCACGCCTGTCTCCCATTAGGGTAGGCAGAAACAATGGAACGCCAAATGCTTTGATTCAAACAAACCTCTTTCGCTTTTTCCACATTCATTAATCTTTTCATACACGCTCGCCGGTTACGGGTACTTTTAATTTGGCCCTTCTTCAGCACGTCGCCTATTTGGTCGACATACGTCCGTCTAGGGCGGCCCCTACCGACATTTCCATTCATTCTGAATTTTGAATGAATGAATGGTGAACTTAGTAAATATTTAAATTTAAAATAAGTTTTGTAGGGAAAAATACAATAGTATATAGAAATAATAATTGACTGAGTTTGAATACTCACCAGTTCCGGCGTTAACGAAGCAGATCTTCCAGCTCTTGGCTACAAAAAAAGTTAGTTTATTATATAAACGTTGTCAGACAAACATAGTAATTACTTCATTTTTATATTGTTTGAAGATTTTCTGAATAAATTTTGGTATTTAGACAATTGTAAGAAGTAATAATGTAACAAGATGATATCGTCATAGTCGTAGAATACTGACGGATCTGACAAATATTATATATATATATATATATATATATATATATATATATATATATATATATATATATATATATATATATATATATATATATCCGTCAGTATTTTACGACTATGACGATATATTCAATCATAGACCTTATCATCATTTACTATCAAATGAGGTAAGATCAAGCGCAAATCCATTATGTAATAAAAAAAAATTTTATTAACTAAAAAAGTTACCTAAAACTGAGTTACAATGTTATTCTTTGCAGGAATACATATTTAGAAGTTTTAAATGCTCTATCGAGAAGATTTAGTGTTAGCCAACATTATCAAATTGGGTGTTGAAGAGTTTAAAAAGTAGTCTAGTTGTTGGTATGTATCGGTAAAATATAAAGATCTTATGCTCAACCATATATCTATCGACATGAAGCTGGTCATCATTCAGAATGTGCATGGACCAGTTGGCATAAAATACATACATGTTTATATTAGGGTTGTATGGCTTGCGTTTTTCTTGAGTAGTGGACAGGTAACGGTTGGTCGATATGATAAAGAACAATTTCTAATCATTATTTTTTTTAACTCTCAAAATTAAAATCTGTTGTCGAAGTGTTAATTATGCTATATTTACTTTTTTTTTTATTATAGCACGACATGTGACAGTATAATACAGTCATAATAGGGTGTGTGACCTAGCCTAAAAACCACAATTATCTATATTATCTTACATTCTTATAAATTGCTCACGTGCCTCATTAAAGTACAGTAGAATCTCCATTATCCGAACATCGATTATCCGAATATTTTATTATTCGGACTTTTCTTTACGGCTTTAATTACGAATTTAGAAATGTTATTATGTATTAATTGGGTAAATAGGTATTATGCAATCCATTATTTTTATAGCTTGTAATTTTTTTAATCGTATTGTCTAAATGACGTTATGTATCGTTTGATTTGACCGTGAAATCGATTATCCGGATTTTCGATTATACAGATTATACATTATGCTTGGTTTTCGGATAATCGAGATTCTACAGTAAAATACCACTTTTTTATCAGAGGGAGACTTTGTACAAAAGTCGATTGCTTGGGTACCTCTGTCCTATTCGTGTTTCAACAGTGAAGCAGTTGTGTTTGTATGACTGAATTTACTGTGTACAGAGGAATAACACCTGAGTCCTCAGGAATGGCAATGCCCCATGCATTGGATGGGGCTTTGCCATTCCTGAGATGGATTATCATAGGCGAAACAGTGTACTCTGTTATGTCCATGGTACTGCTCATGTCTATAGGCAACGGTTACCACTTTCCATCAGGTGGACCGTCAGCTTGTTTGCCATTGTAAGTTGTATAAAAAAAAATAATGACCATAGTGCGGTTCTCGTGCGCGAGCCGCGCGGCGTATCGTGCGATGAGGCGGTGCTCGTCGTCGGCGCCCCTGAGCTCGGCGCCGCGAGCCCGCGCCCAGCGCGAGTCCAGCGAGCCGGTGTGCGGGTAGCCCGCCACGCCCCCTGCCGCCACGCCCGTGTACTCCGGGAACCCGTTGTGCGCCGGCACCGGCGACGGCGGCCTACACACCGCCACCACGACCAGGGAGGAAAAGGATTGTTAATAATGGAGTTTCACAGCCCCATTGCTAGCAATATGCGCTATTATAGCTACATGCGCTGTTCACGATGGTTCCCCCTGGAAACCATCGTGAACAAATCTTGTTGAATTCGTCACGAATTCCATTCCATTATCATCCATTAAAAAAGGCATATACCACTAGCGCAGGCGATGAGCAAGAGATGAGCAGCAGCATCCCTATTAAAATATTTCCGAAATCGTAACTGCGCCTGCCAACCTGCCTACCAAGCGTGGCAATCACTGGCAAAACCCCCTTGTGGCCAATAAGTGGGTTTAGTAGTGGACATCTAATGGCTGATATGAAATGAAAAAAATATATTGTATGGACCTCAAATATTGAAATAAAGGCAATAATAAGGTATATTTACACTATGTGACTGAGGTCGAGGGTTCTTTCGGGGCGGTCGGGATAACGCGGCAGTGGTCTCGCCCGTTCCGGCACGCAGCGGAATGACTTGCGGAGCGTCGCGCCGATCTGCTTCGACGGAGATTTCTAGAAAAAAAAATGGTTTTATCAAACACTATTATCTATTTAAAAAAAGCGGAATATTAATATAATAGTATGGATAATACAATGTACAATACAGCAGGGGAATCCAGGAGGTTAAATGAGAATTAACTCGAGCGTTGCAAGGATATATTGGATTTTGAAGATTAGATAGTAGATAGCAAAAAAAAAAATAAAAAAGTTTATGTATCCTTCTATAAGTGGAGGGACGAGATACATATTTTCAAAAATGCAAGAAAAAAAAGTCACATGGAAATATTAAATTACGTCAGATATTCAGAGGGAACGTTGGGATGTTATGCAAACTCACTTTTCACTGTCAATGTCCAGATTAACCCAATATATAAATATTAAGCAGACAGTGTTAAGAGCGCCACTAATTATAAAGTGATTGTTTATACACTTTTATATATATATATATTGTATTTGTACTTTATAAAGGGTTTATTTAGGTTTACTTAATGATTTGTGCGGAAATACAATTATTATTTTAATTCCAAGGTTGATACTATATGGCGCTCTGTTCTAAAACACGCTATAATTTAATTCCCTGGAAGTTCTAGCATTGGAGATTTGAAATATTTAGTAGTGTAATATTTTTTTTTACATTATATTCATTCTCGTATGTTGTGTTTCATTTTGGGGCTTTTTGAGCTGTCTGATACCGCGGCGTGTACCCCATCAGCCAGGTACCCACATTATACATGTCTAATTCAGACATGACTTTTTGAAAATACAAAAAAAAAAGCGTCGCTGAAATTTTTTTTTTTTATTTAATTTTGATTTTAATTTAAGACCGAGAATGACTTGGGTGAGTCCCAGTGATCCAGGGAGGGAGTGGTATAAAAGTGGTACTGACGTATGCGGCGTACTCCTTGACCTCGTGGTCGTTGGTGTGCGGCGGGCAGACGCGGCCGCGCCAGAAGCAGTCCTGGCACAGCGTGTAGTTGGCGCAGCGCGTGCAGCGGTAGCGGAAGCCCGTCAGCGAGCCGCGGCGGCACGCGCTGCAAGCTAGCGGGTGCACCACTGCAACGACACGCCCACATTATACGCATTCCACATATGTCGCATTCCACGTATCTTCGGTCGTCGATCATCCGCGACGGAAAGATTTTTTTGAAAGGGAAAGACCTTTATTTTCAAAAAGCTATTTGAAAATCTACAAATGTTTATTTTTGTACCAAACACAATTCTAAAAAATATTATTTAATAGAAAACTGATTATTCTTTATGAATTTGAAATATCGCGCCAAAAAACAAAATTAACTACGACACTCGTAGGCTGCGGAACGTTAGCCCAGAGAGCCTACCATGAAATGTCATCCGAAATTTCGAGACCGAATAAAACAAAAATTTGCCAATAAAAACATGCCGATTCAAACTATTAAGTTCCGTTTACTAGGCTGATATCAGTATGAACGAAATTATGAAATTAGGTCTGTAAATTCGAAATGTCATTTTATGGTAGACCTCCTCATCTTCGTGGAACAGTAGCGCCACATTGTACGTTTTCTTATGTGACTCATCACTTCGGCGTCACTGTATAATTATTAAACAAATGCGTCAGTGTAAATACAATAGAATCATACCGTTTTCGACGCTCGCAAGTCTATGTAGTAGCGGCAACCACACGAGGCAAGGAGGGCCAGGGTCCGACATTAGTGTGTCCAGGAAGTCGTTCACCGTTATTTTACCGTTTTGCTAAAAAATTAGAAACAATATTATGTCATTATCTATTCTATTTTTTTTTGTTTATTTTCATACCTACATCATTAAGATATACTATATACATATAGTATATAATCATATTATTATGTATACTGCTCACTTATTCTCAAAATATATGTAATAATGATCTGGTTATTATATATATATATATATATATATATATATATATATATATATATATATATATATATATATATATATATATATATATATATATATATATATATATATATATATATATATAATACTAAGTCGATCCCATTCTTACATTTCACAACTTACGATAATGTTATCGCAATATCCCGAACATACCTGATTAAATATGGACAGCGCAAGCGAGTCGTTGTAGCTGAAGGAAGGTGACTCGTACACAGCTGCTGGAAGTGCTAACACTTCACGTAGGTAGTCGGATAGTCTTTTCATCAGTAGGTGCCCGTTGCCATCCGATAGTTGAGAAAATATATCTGTGGTAGATGTATTACTCAATTTAATAGTGTATGTATTTGTAACAATTACATGGTAAGTAGACTAAAGTGTTAAGCTAGCAAATAGTTCAATTTTAACTACATTTACAGTCTATTAATTTAACTGGAACAGTTGTATATCTATGCTTTAACTTCTTAGGGAATGAAAATTTTAGTTTTTGGTATCACGAGAAGAATTATCATCAGGTTAAACATTTTATTTTTGGAACAAGATCATTTTTCACAATTTTATAAGATAACAACCTCTGTCCACTCAACGCTTTAATTACGTACAAGGTGCGGAGGTTTCTTTTTTATTTATATATTATAGTACACACTAGTAATGCATAACAAATATGACAGAGGTAATCCATATGTACAAAGGCGAGCTTAACTCTTATTTTGGTTTTTTAAATTGGCAACATATAAGCAGTAACAGGAGTTTAAGTGTCCATGGTACTGTTCATGTCTATCGGCGATGGTTAGCACTTTTCATCAGGTGAGCCGTCATCTTATTTGCTACTGTAAGTTGCATAATTATTTTTTCCCCATGGAATCGGAATGTAAATGGTTAACGCGAACGAGCCACGGAATACTACAAGTATGAAAGGAATGATGTGGATAAAACACTTACATCTGAGCTTGTCCATTAATTTCCCCGCACACATTGTCGCGAGGGCCACTTTGATTGAAAACACCCGGATCTTTCCCACATTTTCTCTAAAATAATACAAAAATTTGTCAGATATAAAATTCACTTCTTAAATTCTACATAAATTATCTCCAAATTGTAAATATAAAATACATGTTTTATGTATATTTATGTTATATATACAATGGGAGTATGGGCTTATAGACTTCGTTCACACATACCGGCTCAGAGATAATAATACATTTCCATTACATTTAAGACATAGTTTTACATCATTGCAATAAGGTTTATTTTTGCATTTCACTGCTTGGTTCATTTTCAAATATTCTAATATAATAAAAATATTTTCTCCTCTCTGAGTCCGTCTACGTGACAGATACTTATGGACGGCGCAATAAGTGCCTTATAAAGTAATAAAAAATATTATATAGGGTAATAAATACGAATACCTACTACGATAGCCAGTCTAATTTCAGTTCTGAATCTATGTTTATATCTTATAAAATGGACAGTATTTTACATCTGCTTGTGCCCATTCTCTATTTTTTTTATCATATTATGGATAAGCCCTTACAGTTTTACTTGTATGCTATTTTATATTTACCTATTAAATACTTTCTATGACTACTTTTAAATCCTTAACCAACTAGGCAGTTACAATATCTAAATCTGCAGATAAAAGTGTCTCTAACAAACTAACATTATATTGCAAATAAAATTTGTCATCTTAATGCAAATATCCCCTATAAGTGTGACATAGTCACCTAGGTGTACTAGTTTAAAAAAAAATTAAAAAATAAAAATTACTTGTAGTAAGTAAAGAATCTACAGTGTGTGGTACTCCATACTCTTTACCCTCTACATTTGACCTCTCTTTAGATTGCATCAATTAATCTTAGTCAATTATTTAAGTGGGTCAAATAAGGGGTCAGCATGGAAATTAATGATAAAAAAATCCCATATAATCATGTTTCATAGACCATAAATATAGAAAAGTTTAAAACATAAGCACATGTTTCAAATAATGAGTAATATAATCGCAATCCACCCATTTTGTGCAGTATCAAATATCTAAATATTTGAGATAAAACTTATAATTTAAAATGTGTGCAATATTACCAGAGGGAGACTTTGTACAAAAGTCGATTGCTTGGGTACCTCTGTCCCATTCGTGTTTCAACTTTGAAGCATGGCTGTGTATCGATTTGAAGGGTGGGATATAGCGTGAATTTACTGGGTACAGAGGAATAACACCTGAGTCCTCAGGAATGGCAACGCGTAGGGGGTATCATGGGTGAAACAGTATACTCTATAATGTCCATGGTACTGCTCACGTCTATAGGCGACGCACAGTGGGAACTCTCCTAAGAAAGCCATCTCATAAATACTTTTTCTAAAACTCTGTGGATATGCATGTATAATACCTCAAATTGTAGCTAAAGAGTTACTCTATCATTATATATGATTCAAATCTGTTACTATTCATACATAGAACAGAGCATCTAAAGTCAAGGAATGAAAAAAATACAAAAATAATTATGAAACTTAAATTTCGTGATAATTTTATAGTATCAAAACAATAGAAGTCATATAGTGTGATACCATTTTAAAATGCTTAGAATGTGTACTTTACTATAAAATAAAAATATATTTAGTTTAGTACAATATTACTTAACCAAAGATCCATATATCGTTATATGTATTATTTTCTTTTCTCAAACTTTCAGTTGGAGATTTGACAGTTGCCGAAGCTTGCCGAAGTTCTGATTTTGATTTAATTTATTAGGAAATATAATGTAATTTGAGGGCAAAAGATTTTTTTTTGCAGTTTTACTGCGTAATATATTTAAATCTAGTATAATATCATGGTGAGAATGTTTTTTTCTAAATACGTATATTAAGATTTTTTTCTTTATTTTAGATTCTCTGTCTGGACACTCAAAAAAATACTTTTGTCTCAATTATTACTTTATATTTTATCTTTTGCGTTACTTTTAACAAGTATTTCACATAGTATTTAGTTCCCATTTCCATACAGACCTATTCTTTACCGCATAACCGAATAATGATGAATTTTCTAAATCAAGTATTTTTGCACACGTCTATGATCATTATTAAGTATAAAATAGTGCATTTATATATGAAATATTACAGTTCTTTATAAGCATTTGTCATTTCTAAACAATTGTTAATTATTTATGTCTCCGTAATGAGTGAAGTCTCGTGTACCGGACGCGACTTAAGTCTCTTATTGTTGAAAGTGATACAAATTATATTGATTATATCTCAAACTATGTACGAAATAATATTACCGAATCTTCAGATGCGAATATAGCAAAAATTATCGCAAGTATTTAGAAGTCCTTCATAACTCAGTTTCGTCAACGCTATACGAAATGTGGTCGAAAGAAAGAACAGTTTTTAAATCAAAATAGTAATTGGTTTAATGTCATTTTCACTGTAAATCTAGAAAAAACTACATGCGAACCTGAACCTTCTACTTCGACAGAGAAAAGAGGAAGACCTTCTAAAAGATACGATGACAGTTCAGAAAGTACAAACAAACGGAAAAACAAGGGACTGCTTGATACCTATGAACTTGATTTCATACTGAACTCATATGTACAGGGTTTAAGGTCACGTGGTGAAGTAGATGAACCACCATCATCGTTGATATTTTACGAGCATGGCCGTCAGAAAAAAGAGTGAAATACGCAGTAATTTTCTTAATGAACCGACACATATAACAGCATATTCAAAAGATGAAGATCTTAGCATTTTTGTAGAATTGGATCTGAACAAGGCACAGTAAGAAAATATGATGAGTTGTTTGATAGCAAAGAATTGCTTATTGTTTCCATCATACAAGTTGATTCGTGAAGTTACAGAATCTTGCTATCCGCCAAAATCACAAGGTGTTGATTCATTGTGAAAGTGTGATACGTTACTTTTCTGTCTTGCCTCTTGGGCAACTTTCAGAAAATGCTCAAGAGTCACGGAACAAAGACTATAAAGAGTTCAGGCTTCATCATGCAAGACAATGTTCGAGGGTAGCCACTAACGAAGATGTTCTACACGCACTTTTATATACCTCTGACCCATACATAACAAGTTTAAGAAAACCTTCCAATAAAAAATATTTAGAACTTTTTGATGAAGTAAAGAAGCTCTTGAGTGACTTCTAAGTTATCTTTATAAGGATTTTTGTTTTTTACGCAGATACTTTTACTTATTCCTGTATAAATTTCTTAGGACATAAACGTAAGCTTATAAATTTTATATTTCTTATATTCCTATATTATTTATAACTATTAGAAATAAATTTTTACTCACAACGCATACATAATTTAAAAGCATATATATTTAAGAATATCAGGAAAAAAAATCATATACATATCTTTATTAATACGGAAGTTATAGATTTATGAGATGAAAAGGAGTCAAAGTTCCCACTGTGCGACGGTTACCACTTTCCATCAGGTGGGCCGTCAGCTTGTTTGCCATTCTAAGTTGTATAAAAAAAAATATTTAACTATTCAATTGAAATACAGTAGCATGGAGTACAGATCAAAATATACATAAAAAGGTACAAAAGGCGGTCTCATCACTAGGGAAATCTCTTACAGATAACCTTTGGTTAAAGGAGAACATATAGAAGTGGGTAGGTGGCGCAAAAGTGAATTCATAATTTTTACGTTTAATGCACAAAAAAATCAAATACATATTGTTTATTAGACTACATATTATAACAAATAATATAATATATACTACATATACATACATATATAAATATATACAGAGCATACACTAGGAATTATGACAAGTCTAGTAAAACTTAAATAAAAAAAAATTAAATAAGTAAGGAAAAGAGCAACTACAGTGAAAGAAAATGGGATTTGACTTGTCCTTTAAATGAAGCTAAGGACTGGGTGTTCCCTATATCTAAATAATATGTACAATATAAATACATACTTTATTAATTTAATTAATTATTATATTTTATTAGACAACCACTTCTAAATATTATATTTAATATTTTATAGCATCATATTCCTTAATTAATCATTTTAGGTGTTAACTGTCTATTGCTGAACATAAGTCTTCCCCATAAGGGGAGTGTTGCCATTAGTTATCATATTTGGCAGGCAGATTAGTAACCACAATTAGGGTTTTTAAAAATATTTTAAGAGGGACCCTGCTGCCCATTCCTCTACCATTAAGTTCCTTTAGCCATCTCACCTACAGGATAAGAAAGAGTGGCCTATGCTATGTCCAAACCATACAGATAATTTCTCAATGATAGTGAATAATTCTAGTATAAAACAAGGAAATTTTATTTGCAAAAAAAAAAAAAACCAGACACTTCAATTTTTACAAAATTAATAGTAATTTTGTAATAATGACTAGCATTATTTTTTACTTTAAAAGGAAGAATATATTAATAAAGGACAAGATGTTCATAGGTGGGATAAATATAAAATTATATGTGCGATTTTATGTGTTTAAAAGTCTATATTACTTCTATTTTAAAAAGGAAAGATTTAATTGAATGTTTTTTTGTAATGTATAAACTCAAAAAATACCCAACTGACTTTAAAAATTCTTTTACCTATAGAAAACTATAATATCAACATTTATTTAACAATATATTATATATTATATTAACAATATTTTCAAAAACTATCTACCTGTACACATTGCTAGTAGATTAATAAATTGCTTTTCAATGTGCAAAAAAGTGGTAAATTAAATCCCTATAAAAGTAAGTAAAGTAACAATAGTAAATTAAATAAATAAGTAAATATTAGAGTAAGAAGTAACAATAGTAAAAATTCTCAAAATAGATTCAAAAATTTCTAAACTCAAATGTGTGTAGGTATGCTATAGACAAAAAAATTGGCAAATTCAGAATCTCACACTTTTGATACTAGCTCTTAAACTTTGTGAATGAATGAAATAATAAAAATTCTTTATTGCTCTCCTCAAAGAATGATAAAAGTACGTAAAGTAGGGTATACAAAAAATCAGTAGATTTTGTTTTTTTTTCAAACTTACCCAGTACTGTAAGCAGATAACAACCAATTCAACAACAATGCTGAGCATGCTTCCACAGATACCTGGTGCGCTGGTGGTAAACGCTTGTTTAAATTATGGTACAAAGACGACACTAGTGTTTCTAAACGTGTCACATTGACACATGCATTTGGTTCTAGCGTATTGAGGGCATTCTCACGAAATGCCTCTATCACATTCCATATGTCTATCACATGTACTAAAACAAAAATAAACACATTAGTAATGATTATAATTAAATATTATATAATATTAATCTAGTAACAACCTGTTAACATAAATACTTCATTTTTATAATTATTTCATTTTAATATCAAAATATAATTAATGTGGAAAAAAACATATATACATATATATTCTCTTTTTTTCATTTAGTCTGGCCCCATAGACGTGACACACCATGTGTACATAAAATATTATTCATATAAATTATAACATTCTACAAATCTGTTTCTGAGAATTTAGAATAAAAGGAAAAGTCATCATTAACTAAAACAGGTTCATGCAACAATACTTTTCCACAGTTTTATCATTAAAATTGTATTATTTGACCAGTCAGTCATTAAATTAATATGATAAAATCTGTAACTTATGGAAGAGAACAAGTGCTATTTATAGATGATAAAAAATACTAGTGTATTAAAAAAACATCTAGATAACCTATTAAACATAATGACCAAATTCTAGATTTTTTCTTCTTCTAAATCTATTCATTCTTAAGATATGTGCTTTTAATTTTAAAAATCTGTAATTTTAACAGATGTTATTCTATAGTTATTAATTTATTAGAAAAGATATATCCACAAGAATAATGGTATTCAGCATTCAGTTCTATCACCTTACCTCACATGGAACCTGGCATGAAGGTAGAAATATGTTAAATGAAATTATTGGGTATGGAGTCACAATAACTTATATAACCATAATGAATTTTTCATAATGAGCTAACTCACCGGCATTTATTTTCATCTGCCATCTCCCACTGGTACCGACCAGCATATACCTATAGTGCATGCGAAGTTAGCATCCTATTTTCATAAAAAAAAATATTTTCCATCAGCTGAGCTGAAAGCTCATTTGCCATTTTAATTGATATAAAATCTATGGATAAAGGTATTCCTGATGAATGTCATGCAGGTGAGTGAAGCTTCAAAAAACTAAGGAAAAGTTGTATAATAAGATTAAAAGACTTAATAGTCATAACTTACAGTTACATTTCTTCTGAACATAGCGAAGCTTGCATGCAGTTCTATATGATGCAAATCTAATCATATCAAAGTTGTGCTCCCTCATCTCTTGCAATAGTTGTGACCTGGGATCAGTTGAGGATCCCCCCACACTCATACTAGGTCCAACACTCATGTTGTCACGCTCGAGAGACATGGTGATTTCTATAATGAGGTTATTCAAATTTTAAATTCAATTAAAATTATGCAAATTTAAAACAGGAAAATTTAATTCTTCTGAAAGTAATTATAATTAAATCAAATGATAAAAGAAGATATTAAGTTCGTTATTGCGATTTCACCACAATATAAATACAAATATGTATGTAAATCACTTAGTAGCAATAATTTACTCTGCCAAGGATACTCATTGAAGGCTGGTCATCTATTACTCTAAAAAAATGCGACTGATAAACAATGGACCATTCTCACCTTTTATTAACGGTCAGCTCATAAGTTTGTTGACATAATGTTAATTTATTCAAATTAATACTTCACGTAATTTTGTAGTTTACAAATCGATTCAAGATTTTATAGCGCTCATTATTTTTATTTTGCCGGCTACCCTTAAAAAACACACTGATTCAAATTTATAAACGCCGGTGAGGCACGAAATAAATATTTACGTTTTTTTTGTTTTTAATTATAAATAAATTAAGAAATTCACTGTTTAAGTGAAAAAACCACAAAATTAGAGATCAACATGACAGTCTGCCATTGAAGTGACGTTTCATTTCTTGTAAGTTATTATTACTGACAATGGTTAACTCAAGTTAACTAATATTTTTCTTTTTATGTAAATGTTTTCTTTTAATGTTCTGAATTAAAAAAATATTACACGTAAGTAGATATTTGTATGATTTTATAATAAATTTACTGTAATACTTATTTTAATGTGATTACAATAATTTATGATTATTAAATCTATGGTTTAAGTAGGATAGGCTTAAAACGGAACGGAATGAAATCATAGACTTTTCACTTAGTTTTTAAATAATCACTGTTTGGAAACACAGAACATAACGCGAACATAAATATAATTACAGTATATGTTGTATACATAGATTGCAATCTTAAATAAATCATTAGGTATTTTTAACTTCACTACGTAGTATAAAATAAAGAAGGTTCCCGTCTGTCTGTCCTTACGTATCGATCTTTACGATCTTTAAGACTATGCAACGAATTTTGATGCGGTTTTTTTAATAGATAGTGCGATTCAAGAGGAAGCTTTATGTGTATAATACATGCATATTGTCGTAAAGATCCATTGATTATTTTAGAGGTTTCTAATGTGATGTCATAAATATTTTATTTCTTTGCGCTTACATTGCAAATACTAGCTGAACCCTATGAGATAGATCAAACTAATATACTACAGTATTATACACCTTAATAAAGTCTACAAAAAACTCCTCGATTGTGTATGTTTATTTCTTAGGTATAACCCACAATAATCATTATTTATCCTTTAATTTTTACAAGAAATAATATTTTATTTACGAAGCGATTTTAAACAAAGCAAAGCATTAATCCATTAATGAGCTCTGCCAGGGTTTTCCTAAAAGACTTTATATTATATTATATATATATATATATATATATATAACATGGGGTCCTTCAAAATGAGGGTAAAGAGGTTTCTTCAGGATCAGCAATGCGCGAGTAATACCCCTGGTATTGCAGGCATTCATAGGATAACGGCTTACCATCAGATGGGCCGTATGCTTGCTTCCCACCTTAGTAGTATAAAAAAATCCTTATCCAATTAAGTAGCTTAAATACATTGTGTATTTAATATAAATCATTATAGCTCTACTATTAATTTAAATAACAGTATGTAATTTAAATGACTATTTTCGAAGATATTACAGATATAAAATGCAGGGGCAAAGCAGTAGCAGCGGTACCGGCCAGGGTGGGAGGGGGTGGTAGTAGTAGAAAGCTTACTTTACCTATAAGCGAGGGGAAAGGGAGTATTTTAATTATGGAATCTGATGGCCCCATTGTTAAAATTATATTCTGTTAGATCGATTTCCATACGAATAGTCTCTCTGGAGATTACCGTGGTTGATTATTGTTTGTCACGATGAGTCCTCCATCGTCAACTGTCTTCCCTATCAACCCCAGCCCTCTGTTAATGTATATTATTATTATTATTAGCACAGAAGATAAAGTCCATGGTTAGCATTTATGTTTATAAAAAAGATATATAAGGCATTTATATAATGATGACAAAATAATACATCACACACAGTTAAACTAACACATTTATTTTATAAATGAACACAGTTTACATTGATTCTTACTAATTTTTCAATATACTTATTTTTATTTACAATAGATATTTTAATAATTATCGCACAACACATTCTTTTACATTATTTTATTTTTTAACTCACCTGGAGCATCAACTTATACTTACAATAAAATAATTCTTTCTTAATTTAACCTACTTAATCCTGATAGGTGGTTACTAAATATTTTTTTCTACATACTCTAAAGCAATAAATACATTAGGCGCGATTTTCAAAGAACTGCTACGTAACTAGTTATAAATTTGTTATGGGTAGGTATAAGTAGCAAGTTATCTTCAATGTCTACATTTAATTAAGTTTTTTTACATAATGTCTTATCATTACGTTCGTTTCGTACATAAATTTTTCAAAAGGGTTTTAAATAGCATAATTTAGCACGCTATTCAAATCTTGAAGAATGGATATTTTTAAAAGAAATTGGTGACAGCTGTATAGGTCCCAAGTCGTGGTAATATGTCACCATTAAAGGAAGTATGAAAACATTTACAATATACGTAAATAAAACAAAATGTAAATACTTTGTCAAATATTTCGACTGAATTTCGAATTCTTCATTCCTTGTCTTCGCTGATTTCAGTGATTTTTTTATTATACTTCCTGGCAGGATAGTACTGATTTTGCCACAGATTTTCTTTAAATAGAGTATATAATTACAATATTAGAGCGTTCTAAATCTTTTAAATTTTAAATATAACTAGGACCTACTTAGAGCACTTGGGTTTGACCCCATAAATATATGTGTAAAAAATTAGCTAGGTATAAATTGGAAAATATTTAAAAGGTAGAAAAATAAATCATTAGAGACTTGATGTACAAACAGAAATAAAAATAAAAATTATTTGCTCGTAAAAATATGATTTGTAATAATTAAATAATTTAATATGATGAAGTCGTTGATAACTCAGTAAAGTTTTTTTTTTTATTAAATTCTTCTATAAAAATACGGTTATAACATATTTAATCACCATAAAAACTTTTCCAGATGATCGGATTTGCATCCAAATGGATAATGTCTTATAAAAATATTCTAATTATGCGATTTATAAAATTTTATATGAATAGATATACATATATATATTGCCTACGATATACTTGTATATAATATTGTAGATGTGTGTACATTCTTCAGGTATAGATACCAACACTTTGATTATATCACTATATACAATTTTATTGTGCTTGTCACAGATCTGTTCGCGATTTGGTCCAAACTAGGTCCAGCCGATATATTTTAGCATTTTGACACATTTCCTAGTAACTATATAGGTAACATGAATAAAATATAGGTACACCTATTTACCTAACGGTTTATCAAGTATTGGCCTTGTATCTATTTTACAACACTGAATTTTATTATACATATAAATACAATGAGATCGATTCTGAGGTGCCATTTTTTAAACCTATCCCTGAAAACTAATATTTTAATTTGATAGTGAAAGTACAATTTTCTTAACCATCTTAAATCAAATTTACAATAATTTTAATATAAATTTATTAGAAACTTAGTTTATATTGGTTGTTAAAAGAAAAATTTGTTGTGGTATAAAATTAAAATTTTGATTTTAGAGATAAATTTAGAGAATGGTGCAACAGCATCGACTCTAGTATTATTATAATTTATTAGCCTTATTTTTTATTCTTGGCATACCTACTCGTATTTAGTAAACAATCTTAGTTTATTTTTTTATAAAATTAGACATTTAAAATAAAATAAAGAAGATACAATAAAATATTATATGTTGTACGTATTATAAAATATAATAAACAATTCAAATTATTAAAATATTCTTGTATATATAAATGTTGATATTTCGATAAAAGATATTTGGAGAGGATGAACGGAAGATTTATCGAACATAATTGAATGGAGATGTCGGTAGAGGCCGCCCTAGACGAACGTATGTCGACCAAATAGGCGACGTGCTGAAGAGCTAAATTAGAAGTATTTGTACCAGAGGAGCGTGTATGAAAAGATTGATGAATGTGGAGGAAGCGAAAGAAGTCGATTTGAATCGAAGCATTTGGCGTTCCATTGTTTCTGCATAGGTACTCCGATGGGAGACAAGCGCGACAGATATATACGAGTATGTATGTTCGATAAAACACGTGCCAGGACAGCAAAGTATAAAATAAATATGCCAAGTATAAAAACAGGTTAATATATTTACCTTAGGTGTACAATGGTAACATTTATGTAAGTACTTAACTTACATAGATGTTAAGATACATTTTTATAATATATATGCTTTATAGCTGTAACAAAAGTACATTATATCTACTCATATAATTATAATTTATATTTAAAACAATTATTTTATTAAAAAAAAAATCATTTAATAAAATTAACTCATTGCTGTGTAGTCACGGTATAGAATACGCCACCGCTTCCTTTCCCGTGGGTGTCGTAAGAGGCGACTATGGTAACTTAATGATTGAGGGATGCGCAGCAGCGTCCCTCTTAAAACATCGATAAACCCCCCTAAACAGGTGGCTTGCGTTCCGCAGTAGACAATTAAAAACTGATATGATGATGATGATGATTGTGCTTAAAGATTTATTTTGTCACACAAATCTTGAATTAAATTCAATTAAATTAAATTCTGATAGTTTTACTAGATTACATATAATTTATTTTCCATTAATTTATTTAGAATAAGTTAAAAACTTTCGTAGATATTTTTTGTTTAAATTGATGATATTACATACAATAGGACTATATTATTTTATTCTCTTAAACATATAAATACTACTTACAATATTGATCGAAACGATTACGCTAAATATTTTATGAATTTAAATATTTTTTGATAAACCAACAATACAACAGCAGTCATAGAAAAAAATCTTTATAAATTTTACTAGTAATCATTTTTAAGGACGCAAAGTATTGTAAATATTTTGCATAGCATCATATGCTTGGTAGTTATAATTAACGATTTGACATTTCTATTAAAATAGTCATAAACAAATATTTCAATAAAGCAGTTTAGCTCAAGATATAGGCACCTAATATGTCGTAGGCAATTACATTATTAAAATAGATACTTTCTTCACATTTACATTATTATACTTATATTTACCTTCAATACACCATACCAAAACTCTGTGATGGTATACATGAAAATAACTTTGCACCTTAGGGAAAGTTATTTAATTTGCCCTATGGTAGAAATTAATCTCTTATAGTAATCTCATTGTAATAGCTGTCTGACATGACATTATGTAATAATTTTTTGTATGCTCGATGACGGAAAATCATAGCGTTCTTATGAAATACAATATCTGTATGAATTCGTAATTGTATTGACTAATAATATTTTTGAACGTTTCGTACTAAATCGATAGCGATTTGGACTATTTTCCTTCGGAAAAGTTGCTCAGTTTCATAAATAAAATACTAATAATAATAATTTAAATTTCATAATTAATTATAATTTAATAATATTTTATAATTTATTAATCAAAATCTCATAATATCATCACTGGGTTTCAATTTGGTATAACCATTATGAATAACGAATGCATTACGATATGCCAACTGATTTTATTTCATTCCCACCTATCGTCCCTCACTAGTACCCAGCCTACAACAATAACATAGGGGTTTTTATTCCATTTTTATAAATAAAAGAAGTCTCTTAAATACACATCGCAGAAGAGGTGGAGCAGTGTAAAGAGCTACGAGTTGACTTCGAAATCACACATCGCAGATTAAGTACAGATAGTGTGAAGCCAATCGTAGCTCTTAAGTGTTGCCACTTCTCAAGACTAAAATGTGCCTTTTAAATTAAGTAGCACACAGTCCTATATACTTTTTGGACTTACCACACGCATAACTGGTTCATTTTTTAATGGAAAATTGGCAATACGTTTTACGTTCGACGAATGTTCTACAATCTCCTATGATATTTATTAGACGTAGAGCCAATGCCTCCACGTAAAGCGGGTGACTGGAGCGCCACCGCGAATCGCTTCGTGCTCTGACTCCGGTGATATGCAGCATGCTATGCGCTGGAACATAGAAATTTTATCAAAATCGGTTCAGTTTTTTACTTTTTATATCAAAATAACTGGTTCTGCCAATATTCAAATCAGTTTGTTTTTTGTGGAACACAATTTTATATTGTTACCTGTCGGCAAGTTCCTGGTGTAGTTAAGATCTTGTAAATCGCGACGATCGGTATCATCAGTATGGAGGAGCAGGCTAGACCCCAGCCGAGGACTACGGCCCACGGCGGGTACGTGTAATGCTGGTACTGAAGAGGTTGCTGGTACAGCAAACCGAAGACAACCACTCCCTGAAAAAATATTGATTTTTTGCATAGAAAATTCGTTATTTTAGTACATCGTATAAAAAAATTATACTGTTAAACTCAAATAGCCCAAACATCATTGTATTTATGTTTGATAAAAAAATTCATGAATAAATGAATCTACCTGCAATATATTTAGAATTATTTATACCTAATTGACAAAATGTATTCACCTTTGTTATTTAAATTTGTATGTATATAAAAAATATTTATTAAATTTGGCTAGGCACGCGATAGGCAAGCGATAGCGTGTCCTACCGTGTGCCTAGTTGGTCATGCCATGCGCAGAAATTAAAGCAATGTTTTAAAAGTGTTGTGTTAAGTGTTAAGTATGAAAGTGGATGTAAAGAGGACCATCGAAGAAAAGGTGGATGGACTGTGTGAACAATGATATGCATAAAAGAAGAGCGAGCCCAGAAATGCGAGCTGATAGGGATTTGTGACAGAAGAAGACATACTGCGCAGACCTTAAATAAATGGGAGCGGGGATTGTTAGTAATGGGAAGGTTAGTCCCCATTGCTATCAATATACCCTATCAAATCGACCTCTACCCGGTTCCCCCTGGAAACTATCGTGAGTAATTTATCGTTGAATTCGTCACGATGGGCTAACTGACCTCCCATTTCATCCTCACCTATCACCTCTCACTGATACTCAGCCAGTGTATACCGATAGCGCAGGCGAGGTTACCATGCCATTTTCACCCATTAAAAAAACCCTCAAAATAAATAGGTAAAACAAAGCAATGATGATGTATATAAAAAATACTTTTGCAAAAATATACTCATTGCAATAACAAATAAATATAAAGAAAACTTCTAAGGTTTAGTTAAAATTTTTTCGTTCGTATGGTTTAAGTATTTATTAGTAAATTAAATATAACATCAAAATTTAGTAGGTAAGTGAGAAACTTACAAAAGTTTTGTGAATTATTTTTTGATTTAGATATTACTCGCGATCCGGGCCGGCTTCGCACGGGTAGATACGATTTTACGAAAATAATATATAGGTTATCATCTATTTAAATATACATATAAAATTCTATTACTTACAATGATGAAAGTAGGGCTGACAAATTTCCAACATATTCGCCAGTAAATTCCGGGCCTGAATCCCAACATTTCTTCCACGTCGTCGGAAAACCTTTTCAATCCTAAAACAAATTGATAATGTAATTTACAATTAAAGAAATGCTCAATTTCACTGATAAAACATTAAATTAGAGTGATATTAACGACATCGATTTTACCTTATAATTAGAGGATTTTATGAAAGAAATAATTAAAGATTGTGTTCCGCCAAAGAAACGACTTCACTTGTGACAAAACCAGTTATTTTGATCTAAAAACAAAAACTATGAAGTCGATTTGATATTTTTTTTATTGGACTAATTTGTAAGTATATTCTTTCAGATAAAAAAATTTTCCATATCGGTTTAGAAATAACAGAGTTATGAGGCAACAAACATAAAGAAAAGTACAACTGAATTGAAAATGTCCTTTTTTTTAATCGATTGATAAACACTTTACAAAGCACCATGCACTAAGATTTTAATTGATTATATCCACACACATACCTACTGCTACTTTTTTCCTATTCTCAGGAGTGGTAAAGAATACCATGGTAGTGAACATAACACTTTAAAGAACAAATACTGGGAGCTAGGAATGTATGTACAATAATTACGTGTATGTGTGGCATTTATTTTCCTTTTTAAACGTCTATTGTGTAAGTCATGATTAATTGAAAAAAAATGAACAAGTGTCTTACCATAAAACCATGATACAGCAACTGCTTCAAACAGTGCAGAGCAAAGCAGGGATATGCCAGCAGCATACGTGTCTAGTAGGTGGAACATGTAGATGCCACCCTGAAATATAGAAGATGATTATAAAAACGACTTCAGAAATATCAAAGAGAAAATATAAAAGAGCTAACTAATATTAAAAATGAATGTACTCGTGTATGCAATTTATTTCATGTTTATTTCAAAACAATTGACAGTATTTTTTTAGACGACACGTTTACTGTGCAGCTAATAGACCTGTGGTCACGTGATCCTGACCCTTCATAGGTAATTTTGTCGTATAGTGGGGTCATTTCTATCTCTAAAATACTACTATCTCTTAAATAAAAAAATAAATATGATATAACATCGAAATCTTTATTATATGGTGCAATATGAACTAAAAGTTTACAAAACAGTCATTTCGCAAAAGTATGAAATTAAAATATGGGGGTAAATTATCATCATGATATCAGCCGTTAGCTGTTCATTGCTGAATATAGGTCTCCCTCTATTATGGAGCTTTGCATGTAGTTGCCACGCTTGGCTTGCAGGATAGCAACTGCAGTTAGGCTTTTGATGATGCTTTAAGAGGGACGCTGCTGCCCATCCCTCAACTATTAACTTCTCTAGTCGCCTCTTGCGACACCCACAGGAAAAAAATGGGTGACTCATTTTATGCGGGAACTATATAGGTTAAGACAGGTTTATAGAAATGACGTCACAGAATCGGCCCCAGTGTCGATGCAAGCTGCACAGAAAGATGCGCTGATGGCAAAGAGTGTGAGGTATTCACGACGTATTCAGTAAGAATTGATAGCTCGAGATAGGTTTAATAGACCTGCATTCTCGTAATCCAGAACCTTGAATTATGTGTTCGCGTCGCAGCCAATAAGCACTATCGACTCGAGCCTGATTCAGCAAACTTGTGATCACGCATTCCAGACCTACCGCAACTTTTGTTAATATTTTATCGGTGTGTCATCAATGCAAGCTATAGAAAAGGATAGACAATAAACAGTGTGAACTGTTTACGACTTAATCATTGAGCAATGTTGGTTCGAAATCGTTGTCCACACTGAATTATCGATCCAGTATGTCAGTGATAACGCATTCCAGACCTATCACAGCTTTTATACATATCTTACCGGTATGATGTCGATGAAAGCTACACAGAGGAATAGACAATGAACAGTATGAATTGTATAAACCAATGAACATCGTTGACTCGAGTTTGGTCCAATAAACAAGTGATTACGCATTCCAGACCTACCATAACTTTTATTAATATCTTACCGGTGTGACGTTGATGCAAGCTACACAGAAGGATACGCAGACAACGAATAGGGTGAAGTGTTCGCGGCGTAGCCAATGTGCACCGCTGGCTCGAGCCTGGTCCAGCAGACCCGTGATCACGCATTCCAAACCGCCCATCTATTAAAACACCGAAAGAATTTTTTTTTATGTTTTATATTTAGAGGCTTTTATCCTTTTATAAGGATATGTCAGCCTCATCATACCCTAATTTTATAAAATACCTCAATTATAATTTTTGAAACTCTTCAAAATCAGATTAAAAACCAAATGAGTGCCAATTTATTCCATCACTTTAATCTATGATAGAGTATGCATATTTTACAATATTTTGTCTATGCTTTTAAAGGATATAAGTTTAGGCTTATTAAAGGGATATTATTACAATCTATTTAAGCTAATATCACAGTGTAAGGAGTAGGTGCTAATATGTGAAGAGGAAAGATTATTATATTTTTTGTTTGTAAAGGGTAAACTCTAAAATGGTTAACTATTTTAAAAATTCTTTGACCAGTAAAAAGCTACATTATCAGCAAATAATGTAGATTGTAATATTTTAATTTTAAAAAAGTTGTATGAAGTTTGATGAGTTGTCTTTAATAATTTGAATAATGTTCTTACCCCAGAATCCAAACCGAGCATAATCAGCATAAAAAAGAACAGCATAGACCATAAACTAGCCCCTGGTAAAGTGGCAACCGCTTCTGGGTACACTTGGAATACTAGCCCAGGGCCTGAAAATAATATTTTCACAAAAAGATTACATGTTTACGTAGATGTTTGTTTAAGAATGTACTTATTTATGTATGTATATATTTATTTATTTAATATATTATGTTTATGTTTATATTAGTATAATTATATATTTATAATATATGAATATATTAAAAATTATTTTTTATATTCCTTTAATTCAATAATGCAGCGCCTATTTATTTCACGGTTTGCTCAATGGTTGACTGGTAGAGAAAACCGTCCGATGTAAAGGTCGCCATATGTACATAGTTTCACTGTGCATTAAAATTTAAATAAATAAATATTTAAGAGTGTGGCAACATTGAAATGGTCGGTCAATTAAAAAAAAATAAACAATTTTCAATATTCCTGACTGATAATATTTATATATGACTGATAATCATAGAACAATAATTAATATGTAAATATTTTACTAAAAATTTTTATTAACCTATTTAATTACTTTTAAAATTTTTAAATACATTTTTACCACTAAAATCTAAATTTTCAGTTATAGTTTAATAAGACTTACTGCATATTTAACATTGTATTTCTCTATAGGAGTACCCACCTAATTCTACAAGATCGGGGGGAAAGGGATTGTTAGTAATGGAGACTGAGAATCCCATTGCTAGCAATATACCCAACCAGGTCGACCTCCTCGCGGTTCCCCCTGGAAACCATCGTGGTTAATTCCTGATGAATTCATCATGATGGGCTAACTGGCCTGTTTTCATTCTCATCTATCACCCTTCACTGGTGCTCCGCCAGCGTATCCCGTTAGCGCAGGCGGGGTTGCCATACCATTTTCATCCAACAAAAAAAATCTACATGATCTGTATATACATCTAATAACAATATAATGAATAACTTACAATTAATTTGAAAAAAAAAAAAAATACCTTCTGTAGCAACAGATGAGATCGGCACACCTTGTTTATACGACATGAACCCCAGATATGTAAAGATCACAAAACCAGAGAAGAACGACGTGAAGCAATTCACAAGGGTTGTCACTAAGCAATCTCTGAAAATATAATTGTTTTTATTAATAAAATTCTGAAATTTCATCCATATGAACAGTATTCTTGACTACAGGCGACTGTTAGCATTTCCCATCAGATAGGCCCTCAGCTTGCCATTAAGTTCCATAAAAAATTTATTAATATTATGTGTAAGTATATTTTTTATTTATGTTGTTTATACTACGTTTAAATTTATCTTTAGGTCCTTTTCCTTTTTCTCCCTTTTTTAGTATTATTATTTTTCTGTTACGCCTTGACCAGACACAATTTTTAATTATTCCTCTCCATCCTAAGGTTGCCTGGAAGAGATCGCTATGTTGTGTTTGTATGGCTGTGTTTCGGATAGGTACAGAGGAATAACACCTGAGTCCTCAGGAATGGCAACGCATGGGGGGTATTATTGCCTCTTTATTATGTAACTAAGTTTGTGTAATTAAATATTCATTTTGTTGTGTACGTATTAATCTTTATAATCTATATTATTCTTTGAAGAGAACAATAAAGAATTTTCATTCATTAACTCATTCATTTATTTTTTATTTGTTTTTGTAATAACAACAGTACCTATTGAGAACTAGTACCTGTAACAGTTATTGTGAAAAGTATTGTAGCTCGCATACGACAGGTGAACTCCGAAGCCGGCTCCCACAGAATAGAATATTTGAACGGCTGCGTCTACCCATACCTGAAATATCGAGTAACTCATTATATGCTTATTTTTTTTAAATATTAGATGTAAGTGAAGGATATTTCCATATTAATTAAGATTACAAGCAGTAGGATATGTTCTGTAAGATACGTCCCGGAAATAATTACAATTATTTCGTCATGATAGGCCAACAGACCTGTCTTCATTTTTATTTATTATTCCTTGCTGACCTCACCAGCAAACATCAAAATCACTAATCCATCTTCATCTATTAAATTATGAAATCAACATTTTAAAAATGATTCAATGACAAGCATCCAAAGATCTATACAAAAAAAGATATTTCAGAAATATATAGAGTCTGGTATATACTACATGTAAAAAAAAGCTAAATCCAGTCTTAATTTTTACAATTATACTTTATTTTCTGATATAAATTTATTTTATAATTTTCCCCAAATTTGAGTTTAATATCTGGGTCTATAACCAATCATTTCCTTTGCATATTTAAAATTATAGTAGGAGCAATTACTTGAGTGTCCTTTAATCTAGTCAGCTCAGGTTGCAAGTAGTAGGCAATGCCTCGTGTTGCACCTGGCAACAGAAGGCCCCTTGCTAGCAAAATAGAAAGCACCACGTAAGGCATGGTGGCAGTCATCCACACTACTTTGCCTGAAAAAAAATACAAATCGTTAAAAAAAAAAACAAGTTCTCAACTTTATCTCTGATATTCAGAAGATCTTTATTATTTTTTTATTCTATATTGCACCAGAAACATAAAAATATACAATGACAATTGAACAATTCAAACGAAGTACAGTAACATAAATTACAGATTAGAATATATACATAAAGGTACAAAAGGTGTACAATCTCTGAGATTCGGGTATTCAGTAGCATTTGTCGATTAATACTGTTCTGCTGAACGTAATATTCGGCAAGCACTCATTTTGCCGATCCTATCTATATTAGAATCCATACATACATATATACATACATATCTGTCACGCCTGTCTCCCATTAGGGTAGGCAGAAACAATGGAACGCCAAATGCTTCGATTCGAACAAACCTCTCTCGCTTCTTGCACATTCGTCAATCTTTTCATACACGCTTGCCGGTTACGGGTACTTTTAATTTGGCCCTTCTTCAGCACGTCGCCTATTTGGTCAACATACGTCCGTCTAGGGCGGCCCCTACCGACATCTCCATTTATTCTTGCTCGATAATTCTCTTTCGTAATTCTTCTTTCATCCATCCTCTCCAAATGACCATTATTAGTATTAGAATCCAATATTGTCTATATGAGTATATAAAGAGAGGCCGGTTAGGCCATGCCCACCTCAAATATAAGCGGAATTTATAGCTATACTCAAATACAAGTATCATGAGAGTATATAAATATGCGCATTTTCAAAGGGGCCAACCCCCCACCCCTCCACCATTTCCAATAAAATAATCTTAAATAGACCAATGATAACAGAAGGTGCACATACTGCTTAAAGGTCGCTCCGATTAATTCGATTTCTTTATAGGATTTTGCCATATACATAGTACGAGTAACAAAAAACCATTTTAAGAAGCATATTTTAACGATAAACTCCCTGTAGGTTTATCGTTAAAATTATCTCTACAAAGCATTAAGAACTAAGTATAGAGCAAAATGAAAATTTTACTCACCGGAACTCTTGACACCTTTGAAAAGCGACAAATAGAGAGTGACGTAGACCAGACCCAAGCAAACGGCCAGTTGCCATTTGGGGAAGCCTAAGTCGTTCAGTCCCTCTGAATGTTGCATCTCGAGAACAGCACGACTGAAAGACGACAGAAATATTGTTAATCTCCAATTAGCTTTCATACAGTAAAATTTATGTAGTATAATGCAGCACGCGATACGGTCTACATGATGGGAAGTATTGAATGTCGCTTATAGGCATTAACAACGATATAGTATCATCAACGTGTATAGTTTTGATGGGTGAAAATGGTATGGTAACCCCGCCTGCACTAATGGGATACGCTGGCGGAGCACCAGTGAAGGGTGATAGATGAGAATGAAAACAGGCCAGTTAGCCCATCATGATGAATTCATCAGGAATTAACCATGATAGTTTTCAGGGGGAACCGCGAGGAGGTCGACCTGGTTGGGTATATTGCTAGCAATAGGATTCTCAGTTTCCAATACTAAAAATCCCTTTCCCCCCCAACGTGTATAGTACGAGTATGTAATTACTTACGTGAGCTTTATTTATTTATTTATTTATTCATTAGTACAAATATGTGTACATGGCGGACTTAATGCTAAAAGTAGTCTCTCACAGTCAACCATAGGGAAGTGTCAGAATACTCGAATGCGGTACTACTAATTATTGATATACATACATACTAAAATTACATATATAAACGAATAAATATATATGAATAACAAATATACTTACACATATATGATATATACTATATTATACACGAATTTGGGAATAATATAAAGCACTTATTGCTCGGATAAAAATAAAAAGTCGGTAGTCTCTTAATGGCATCAGGAAGCGCGTTCCAGAGTTCGTGAAGAATGTAGGAGAAAAGAGTTTGAAGCGTAACCAGTACGGTGAGAGGGGAAAGATAATTGAAGAGTATTATTGGAACGAAGGTTACGTTCGTGAGTAATTTAAGTACTTTATTCAAGTTTTAAATTCGGGAATACTTGACTAGTTTCGAACTCAATAAAAGCCCTTATTCATAAGTGCAGATCACAGTAAACCGAGCAGTGCTGTTCGACCAGCGTAATGGTTGTCGCTGCGCGTTTACAGTTGGTAGTGGTGGTAATGGTGGTAAGGCTGATTATACAGCACTATACAGTCGTGTTATTGCGTTACCGGGCGATGTGTTTGATTCCCGGGTTGATCCCGGGTGAAGTTGGAGTATCAATGCATATTGTATCGATTGTGTCGCACTCTGGGTCTAAATTCCGACTCATGTTATATATATAGTAATTACGGAAAACCCTTTATGCATTGCTATTCTTAAAAACTGTGGTGTTCTAACTCCGTGCTGTGTAACATACACCTACTTTATGCAGAAACACGAGTAGAAAAATACCTTAAAAATAGGACTTTTGCACAGTTTCTATGGCTAATATTTGCAAGTTTATTATGAGATGGGTCAGATGCCTCTTCGCCGTCTATATTCTATTAAGATTACATTTTAGAAAATAAATAATTTCACGTATTTTTCTACGTCAATATCGTGTATTTATACAATACATTTATATTTTAAGCTCTCATTTAAATTTGCTGAAAATTGCCACCTGTCCGACTTATAAGTCGGGAAAGTTAAGGTAAATATTATAAGAATTTTTGTCTCCAGATAAAAAGTTCTCGTCTGTATAAGTAATAAGTTTCACTCACTGAAAGAACTCCGAAGCAGGTGTGAAATGCGAGAGAGGCCCCTGGTACTTGACATCGGTTTTGTTTGTGGCATTCAGCCAGGCGGCGTCCCAACACTGTTCCGTGTTCCACGCGTTGTCACAGTGTACCCACGGAAGCTCAGAGCGGGCTGATGACATCAGGAAATAGAAAGCCCAGCCTGACCAAGAGTTAATTAAGTATTATTACCTTATTAATGTAATAAAACTAACTGGACTATGCCTGTACATGAGAGACATTTGAAAAAAACAAATTATATGATAATGGGTCTTATTAAATATAATAAAAAGAAGCTAAATTAATAATTTTTTTAAATTTTGTTTGTCTATCTATTTGTCAGTCTGTGTGTTTATTTGAGTATTACGCAAAAGTTACTGTATTAAAATTAGATGCGATTTCGCGATGCGATTCATAGTTATATTCCTGAACGTCTAACTTAATATCTGGTACATACATAAGTATATTTTATCTTAATACGTCATCTATATTTGGTTTATTTCATTGGTTTTCCTACTTCTGTACTTTAGTTAAGGTACTTTTTTAATAATCGTATTTTAAGTAGTAGAAAAATTTGATTTCAATTTGGTTACGATCTTAGCATGATGTGACCTTTACAACTAAACCTCCATAGGAATAAATTTTGGCATTACTCTTACTTGGGTAGCTGTGCATTTTATCTGATTATAATCATCTTATTTGGATGCTGTCCAAACAGATACTGATACCACGTTAAATATGTAACTATAGTTATAAAATTTTATGTAGTTATTAAGCAAAACTTACCGATAATAACGTTGTAGTAAAACGAGACGTAAAATGCGACCATGACAGCACAAAATCCAACACCTGAAATAAAAGTGTAGGTAGGTACATAAAGTTATATGTATATGGCCATATTTACTAAGGATCTGTTTACAGGTTGCTCATAATCTCTGTGGTCACATATATGATATTATAACTATGAATCTTTTTGACTCATTTCTTTGTATATATGGTCGGATTTTTGGTTTGTCTATTTCTCTTTATACAGCTTAGAATGGTAAACATGCTGAAGACTCACCTGGTCGAAAGTAATAAACGTCGCCTATAGACATGAACTGTATCATGAACTTAACAGAGTATATTGTGTCGTCCATAATACACTTCATGCGTTGCCATTCTTGAGGATTAAGATGTAATGTCTCTGTACCGTGTAATTTCACTGCCACATCTCACCCTTCAAACCGAAACATAGCTAAGCAAAGACAGCTACTTCATGGCATAGATACAAATGACGACGACGGAGATCCTAAGCATATAACTTAACGATAACGTATCTTCACATCACAACGATCGCCGATACTCTTCTGGTATTTTTTCTCATTTAGGTTCATATGTAGCCGTAATTAAATATTCTTATATTGCAGTAAAGTAACCTCACTCTATAAAATAAATAGGTAGAGTACTTCTAAATTAGTAACTAGCAATCTCTGCGTGGTCTCTAGTATTTATTTTTAATTATAAAAAATAGTGCTCATCCATGATTGGGTTACATGCACTTTTCTTTGACAAAAGTGCCACTAGGTAACTAGTAAAAATTGCATTTGTGAAAATGCAATTTTTATTTTTACACATTTGTGGTGTATGGACTTCAGCCGCGCCAGGAGTGAACCGTCTGTAGAAGTTTAGCATCCCAGTAACTGGTAATTAAGTAAGTAAACCCGCAAGAACATTACAATGGCATCGTTGGACAAAAATGAAGAAGTATTTAGAATGGGAACACGAGTTTCGCCATTTTGACCCGAAGAAACCGAAATATGGTTTGCCCAGTTTGAGGGGTTGTTAGTAATGCGGACTACAAGTTTCTTTGTTAGAAATATGCTCTTTCAGGTCGATCTCCACGTGGTCCCCCTTAGAAACAATCGTAATAAATACTAGGTGTATCCATCACGATGGACTAACTGACCTGCCTTTTCATTCTCATCTATCATCCTCATTGGTACCCCGCCGGCGTATACCATTGGGTTGCGTCAGGGTTGCCATTACATTATCATACATTAAAAAAAACTACGTCATTGGACAACTTGACAAACGGTTTATTCCCGGTGCTGCTGAAGTTCATACACTACACATAACATACAAGCGAGCATATTGGCGATGGAATAAATTAAAGTAATGAATGTAAGAACACTTACCTTTAAACAGAGGACAAATCTTCCACAGTGTAATCGGCCCTTGTCGATTATATTGTCCGAGTATTAATTCCATATAAAATAGAGGCACTGCGCCGAAGACCAGCATTAATGTGTATGGAATAAGGAATGCACCTATGAAGGATATAAGGCTATAATTATACATAACCATAGCAAAAGAAATCAATGAAAATATATTAAAAGTTTTTTAATATTTTTTTGTTTTGTACCTGCATAACTACTTGTCGAGAGAAAACATAGTTGATTTCACTAATATCTATTAATTGGGGGGGGGGGGGGGGGGGGGGGAGGGATTGTTATTTTTTTACTATCAGCACCATTGCTAAATATTAAGTCGACCTCCACGCGGTCCTCCCTGGAAATTATCGTGCTGAATTCTAAGATGCATCACGATTTTTTAATCGCGATTTTTTTTTCATCCTCACTTATCAAGACTGGTGCCCCACCAAAAATAATACCGTTAGCGCACGATATATTTCATTATCATCCATAGAAAAAAATGAAATTATTGTTAATGGATGTCCAAATAGTTTTCATATATTAATATTTCTATAACAGTTTGCAATTAGTTAATTGCCAACAGTCTAATCACAAATAAATGTTTATTAGTATTTACTATATTTTTCAAAATATCGTTTTTCCTAAATTATCTACCATTTACTAACGTTGCATAAAACAAAACTTTTTTTAGTTCTTTTAAAATATCATCTAATTTGTTCTATAAACATAAGATTATAAATCAGTACCTCCTCCATTTCTGTAGCAGAGATAAGGAAATCGCCACACGTTCGCCAGGTCTACAGCAAAGCCAATGATGGACAGGAGAAAGTCCGCGCCAGTGCCCCATGTCTCTCGACCGTCATTTGGTTCTGTCAGATTTAAACCTTTATTGACTATAAAAAAATATAATTATTTTTTTAAGGGTCCATAAAATTACATATTTTAATTGTTATGTACATATATTAAATACTAAGTGTCATGACAACTGCGGAAATCCAAAAAGTTTTATTACTACTAATACCTTATATCCTTGTAATATTGTAGCAAAAGTTGTACGTAAGAAAGAGAATGAAAGTCGAGTAAATGCAGTCGCATTGCGTACGTACGTTTGTGGACAAGACTGGCAGACCCCATTGATAATACAGAATTGCAAGAGCAAATTGGTCTGAAAGGGAGTGTCGGTATTAAAATTCGAAAAAGCATTCTATGGTAGTTTATTCCTACGGAAAAAATGTCAATTGAATAAGATACAATGCGTTAATGAAAGGAGTATTTATCAAGGGAGACCTAGATTAATCTTATAGACGTATTTTTAATAGAAGACCCGGGTGTGCAATGCCCACTCCAGAATTGCCCGGTGCCCACTCCAAGATCCTAGCAAAGATTTGTAAAGATATGAATAAAAGAATATAATATGCGGCGTTTTTAAGGGGTCACCCCCTTGCAACTTAACCTTTGTCAATTATATTCATAAACTAGCGGCCCGTCCGGGCGTCGCACGGGTGGACATTGTTACAACATTTTAAAAAGTGGCCATTGTGGCTGCACACGTGACGCAAGCTTAAAAATGGAGCAGCTTCTCCCGTTTTCCCAACATTTCCCTTCACTGCTCTGCTCCTATTGATCGTAGTGTGATGAAAAGTATACTATAACCTGCCCAGGAGTATCAAGAATAATTGTACCAAGTTTCGTTAAAATCCGTCTAGTAGTTTTTGTTTCTATAAGGAACATACAGACAGACAGATAAAAATTTTACTGATTGCATTTTTGGCATCAGTATCGATCACTAATCAGCCCCTGATAGTTATTTTGGAAATATATTTCATGTACAGAATTGACCTCTCTACAGATTTATTATAAGTATAGATCAGGGCTTTTAGGTTATTTTCTATATGACTTGACTCCTTCAGTCAAGTCTTCGAAATAGATGAGTACACATGAATAGTAATTCGATAAGGCAAAAGATGTATTAAAGGATGACCTTCGGTTCTCTCTGACTTTCCTGCAAGGAAAATAATCTACAAAATAAACTAAGTATAATAAATTAATATTTAGATAGATTTTTGCTGATATCGTATCTTTCATGCAATCATTTATTGAAAGAGCATCTCATAAAAGCAAATCAATGAGAAATTGATGGAAAATAACGTAAAATGTGTGAAGCTACCTCTGGAGTTTGTCCGTAACCGGACTTCGGCGGTAAATCTAATTTTGCATCCTATTTTTATTAAATCAGTTCATCACTAGGTCCAGGTCAAGGGCAGGGGCGGTTGGGGAGTCCGCCAAAACCGGTAATTGCTATTAGTATGATAATATTTGCAATATTTATATTTTTCGCCATTCTCTGTTGTCATAAAAACCATATGAAATTTGATTGATTTTTTTCTAATAGTGCCATCATGTGCCATATATCCGATAGAGGCATATTTAAGGGGGGGAGGGGCCAGTACACCCTGAAATCGTCTGGTGCTCACTCCAGAATACGAGTGAAACTTTCAACTGTGCGCAAAGAAAATATTATGAGGTCAGGCCAATCCCTGAAAAATAATCTCAAATACGCCAAAATAACCGGTGATGACAAAGGAGAGATGGAGTCAATATATTGCAAAGGCAAAAATAATCATACTAGCGGCACTACTATGTTAATAATTAATATAAAAAAACTGCAGTGGTCGATATACATCTTGACAGTCCAAATGGTTTTGTCAAAAAGTCTATAAATATATAGAATGAGTCATGTTGCTGGATCTGCATATGACGATGGTGGCTTAAGTTGTTAACCACTTAATAATAGTTGTATGTTGTATAACTTTTTTTTCTTTGTACTAATCGTTAATATTAAATATATGCTATTTGCCTATAAAAATGTTACATTTAATTCTAAGGTCCATGATTATATAAGTTCTTACATTATCTTGTGAAAACAATTGTCGGTTAACCCAAATAAGTAAATAAATAAATAATTGTTGCAGTATTTATATTTTTCATCATTTGCTATTGAATTACTGGACGTATGGAGTCTTTATCAATAATTTTTTAGTGTCCATCGTAGGATATATAATTAGTGACAACAAAGGAGACGTTGAGACAATACACAACACATCAAGATCCAAATGCTTGACTAGTAAGTTAATCCGGTTACTTTCACAACCTATTAATGTCGGGGGAAAGGGATTGTTAGTTATGGAGACTGAGAATCCTATTGCTAGCAATATACCCAACAAGGTCGACCTCCTCGCGGTTCCCTCTGGAAATTATCATGATTAATTCCTGATGAATTCACTATGATGGGCTAACTGGCCTGTTTTCATTCTCATCTATTACCCTTCACTGGTGCCCCGCCAGCGTATCCCGTTAGCGCAGGCGGGGTTACCATACCGTTTTCACCCATCAAAAAAAACCTATTAATATCATCATGATCAAATCAACCGTCTACTGTCCACTGATGAACATAGGCCTCCACCAAAAGGTGGCTTTTGCCAATAGTTGCCACGCTTCGCAGGCAGATTGGCAAGCGCAGTTAGGCTGTGGTGATATTCTAAGAGTGACGCTGCTGCCCATTTGCTGACCATTAAGTTCCCTTTGTCGCCTCTTACGACATCTACGGGAAAAGAAGGGGTGGCCTATTCTATGTCGGAATCACATGGCGAACTTATTAATATTAATATAGGAGTCAATAAATGTTATTCGTTTATTGTTTATAATAAACAGGAATTAACTTAACTTATGTAAATTATGCTAATTTACATAAGCCATCTCAACATTTCAACCTCCTCTTTTTTTTCTGAATGTTTTGCTGTTGGCCGTAAGTGGCCTTTACAGCTTCACCGAACACGTATGCAGGGGCGAGTGCAGATGGCACTCCAAGATACCGGCTGTGGTTATTTATTCTATTCGACTTTACAATTAAGGCGGTACCAGAGACGATTTACACAAAATTCAATAATAGAGGAAGAGACCAAACACCGGTCAAAATATGAAATCAATATTTACCTGCTTTGATGCTATTGGCGCGGATTCTTTTCGAGTTTTCACTGTAGAAACATTCTTCCTCTATTTGGATTTTTGGCTCCTCTGAGGGAAAATTTGTAAATCATTTTCATAATGCTCATTAAAATACTAATCTTTGATTAAATATACGTTACGAGACAGTAATATTTAATATACGAGTATAAAATCATGTAATTAGATTAAAAGTAAAGTATATATAACAACATATAATTACATAACCACTAAGCGATTAAATTAAAAACCTTTAAAAATGTTATACATCTTTGAAGTTACATAATTAATAAGTAGATATACTTGCTTTGTTTGAAACTTGAGCACACACCTATCAACAACAAATAAAATGCTTCAAAAGTGAAATAATTAATAAATCTTATTACTGAAATATACCTCTTATTGCTTATGTCTCCATAATGCTGGTAAGACTTATTAATATTTCCTTAAATGATAAAAAGTAAAATAAAAAAGGAATGCCTGAAAAATAAGAAAGTAAATAAATAGTCTAAATACAAAGAAAAATAAAATTAATATAAAAATACGAAAACAATTAATTAATATTCGTTTCTACATACTTTTGTAACATGATAATGTGACGACGGATCCTTTTGTGGACTTGTGATCTGTAACAAAAAATATATAATAAATATAGTTCATACAAGATAAAATAGAAGTCTTACATAAAACTTCTCATGCATTATATGTTAAAATGTATTAGGAAAGACATTTCGTGAATCAAAAATTAAGAAAAAGAACAAAAAGTTTTGATCTTCCATACTAACTTAACAGCTGGATGTCTTTTAGAAATCAAACGAAGTCACGCCTGCTATATAGAATATAGGCGTATCGAGTGATACCTCCATTTACCACATTTATCGACGAATACCTCTGGCTACCTCGTTTGTAATTACGATCGTGAGTACCTCATATTACATCTATGACCGTGAGCATATTTTATCTATAGTTTTATAAAAGGTTAAATGCCTCCGTGCCGATAGTCGATGAGTTTCCGATAACTGGCCACTGTCCCCTATTTCCGTCGTGCAAATGCTCTTCATTCACTCGCATCTTAATAATGTCGGCGGAATCCGGCCTGGTTTTCCGCATAATGGCGTGCCGGTGGCGGAAAAATTCCGTAATAATTCCCCAAGGTGCCGACTATCGGCGGTATTCAAAAATGGAAGCCGGCAAGCATCGCATTCCTCACACTTCGGTATTCGACGATAATTTGAGTTTTAAGAATGCGCTTTCTTGTTTATTTCTTCATCTATGGAATTCAGGCGAGAGAATATAATGATTCTAATAGCTTTTACCTCTTAATATTTTAATTATTTTTTACGATTTTATTATTATAATATTAGATATTTGCTCGTTACTTCGTACACGTGGATTTCAAAAGTAGAAAAACTAGAAGGGCCATCAAGATAAAATTTACACTAGATTTTAAGTTAGACCTTCAAGAATACAACTATAAAAACCGCATCCAATTTAAAGTAGTAGTTTTTGCGTTATGGCAGAACAAACATATAATCAGACTGACAGAAAAAAATTTAATAAATATTGTTTTGGCTTCTATTAGTCTTGTTAAAACCCGTCATATTAAGTTTGCTTAAATATATTTCATGTAGAGATAGTATTCAATTTTATTATATATAAATCTTCGCTCTCAAGCTCTTTACTGAGGTTTTCTCTAAAAACTACAGTATAGAGTTAATCAAAAAGTATGTATTAAAGTTTGTTCAGAATCAGTACGCTTACACCTCTAGTATTGCAAGAGTCCATAGACTACAGTGACCGTTTCGCATCAGACGGACTGTACGCTTATTTGTCACCTTAGTGGTATATAAAAAAAATTAGTAACATAAGATATCCATTAATTTCAAGCCCTTTGCAGCGTAGGCAAATAAAACCCAGTGCCAAAAACTTACAATAACACTTAGTTATATCTTTTGCTTCATATATGTACACTGATTTCGTAGACTTTTCACTACATCATTAGATACATTCGACACAGTCTATTTGATTATATTCAGAAATATCTAAATGTTCATGTCTATAGGCAACGATTACCATTTTCCATCAGGTGGGCCGTCACTGTTTACCATTGTAAGTTGCATAAAAAATAATTCAACAATACAAAGTACAGCAGAAAGTGTATGACATTTTAAAAATCAAATATTAATTATTATGAAGCTGAAACTTTCCCCAGGGATCACATAGATTGAAATAAGAAAATATATTTTGAACCTTTCGCAGGTACAGTTTTGCCCTATATCTGTATCTACGTTGAGTTGTTAAATATTAGCTTATCAGAAGATGATTGTAAAAGATAAAGTATTAAATACCCGGAGGACAATTTCATCCAGTCGCGTCCGGAAAATAAATTGGCGAAAATTTAAAATATTCTTAACCGGTGACGGCAAAGAACATAAGTACAATTTACTTCGTAATGAACTATTTAAAAAATATATTGTGAGTATCACCCCAAATTTATAAATCTGTTCAGACATCTAGGAGTTATAATGGAATAAAGAAACTCACATACATGAATCCTAAATCTATTCCAGTTCATTTTTGAATAGTTGTGAAAAAAATTAAGTTTGTAGTGACATAATACCATAGTCCTCAGAAGTGGCTATCCATGAAATGTACTATATGTTTATATCCCCAAAATCAAACGAGAGAAGTAAATGAGATTATATATGTATGTATATATACCGTCTGACCCTTTTATCAACGCTAAGCTTAAACCGTTACATCTAGAATCTTGATATGTTGCAGATAGGTTCTTTATATAGAATAGGTAAACAATAAAAAAGGAATTTTGATGATTCGATTTAAACGTTTCTAAAGGAGTAAAACTTCCAAAATCCATAAATACGACATCGCAGGAAAAGCTAGGATAGTAACTATAGAATAATTTCGTTTTCTAAGGATGCTCCTTTAAAGAAAATATCTCTTAGAATGTTTAAATAAACGGTTTAAAGAACTTATTGAAGGTTTAAAAGTGATGAAGAAGTCAAATGATGAAAGTGAATGGAGCAACAGAATTGGTTAAAGGTTTTTTACATTCCTCTCTCTACCTACCAACTGTGTAGATACGTAGCATAAAATAAATATACGAATATGCTTATAGTCAGGCTCGTCTTCGCGTCATTGTCGCTCATGACTAAGAATCACAAATTGATCCTAAAACTTGGAGCTTTTTCTATCTAATCCATTTGTGTTTCAACCGTGAAGCAGTTGTATTTGCATGGCTGTGTTTCGGTTTGAAGAGTGGGATATGGCGTGAATTTACTGGGTACAGAGGAATAACACCTGAGTCCTCAAGAACGGCAACGCATGGGGGGTAGCATGGGTGAAACAGTATACTCTGTTATGTCCATGGTACTGCTCATGTCTATAGACGACGGTTATCACTTTCCATCAGGTGGGCCGTCAGCTTGTTTGCCATTCTAAGTTGTATAAAAAAAAATCTAATTGCACGTAAATTAAACCGGTGGTTATTACATTAAAGTACATGCTTACCAAATGCCCTGGGCGTACTGCTAGCGGAGCAGTAGCCATCGTCTCTCACGCTGCGGGCTCCAGGAGTCCCACTATTGCCACTCGTGCCGCGACTGAGTAGTGCTGGGCTGGCGCGCTGCTCTTCGTACGAGGGTGCCGTGTGGGTCACCACCCCGCCTCCACTCAGAGAAGCCTATATACAATTTTTATTTAAATTATAAATATTATTATTTATTATTAGCTACTGCCCACTTCTTCGTACACGTGAATTTGAGGGTATTTGCCGTTGCATTATATATATATTGGACTTTTTTGAGAGAGTTGAGACATATATTAATATGAATAATAATGAAAAAAATTGTCTTGATTAATAAAAATATATATGCAAGTAGTTTAATTTATTCTTTATGATTAGATATACAAGTTTTCTAAAACGCCATTAATCGACACTGACCATAATGGGAACCTTGCTATCGTGGTATCCATCGCTGTCGTAGTTCAGCCTCGCTCTGCTACCTGCTACAGCATCGGCCTTTTGGTCTGCTCCTCCGCAGTCATGATCCTGTAGAAATGCAATATTCAACATACATACATTCCCTTCGGCATGCATGCTAAAATAATATGTCTTTGGCTTTAAATAGATTTGATTTGTAGACATTATTACAATGCAATACTACGTGTGAATAAAATTTAACGACATTTGATAACCCTTTGAGGCCTCAATAGAGAATAAAGAAATAAGCACAAAAATTTTACACATTTGTAATATTATTTTTAATATCAAGCAAATAAAAGAATGTAATAAATATTGATTATCTACAATTAAAGCAATTAAAAATGTATCTGTAAAAATATTTATATGGTTTCGACCAAGGAATATAATACTCCTTTGACCGAACCGCTACTGAAGACGTTTCCTCACAAACACAAACAAAGGACCACGTCTATATAGGTTCACAGACATTGAAGTAAAAAGTTGAATTTGCCATAATAAAATAGAATCTATACCTTAGATACTAAGGTGACATTTGTAGTAGAAGTCTTTGATCTTTCTAAGAAAAATATGGTCGAATAAATACACTAATTATATATATATATATATATATATATATATATATATATATATATATATATATATATATATATATATATATATATATATATTATATATATATATATATATATATATATCAATTATATATTGCATTTGAATATTATGAATTGAATTATGGATTAATAATATAGATACGAATATTTGGAATAATTAATAAATACTAATGAAATTGCGCACGTGGGCGCATTTACAATATAATAATTTCTACGATTTCTTTAATTAAACTGCTTTATTTAAACATTTACATATTAAACATGATTTTAATATCTATTTAGAGAAAATAATATAAATACGAAAAAGTCTAAAAGCAGAAATTTTAAAATAGAATAATAAGTGGTAGTTATTTAATATGTTAGATATTGCGAGAATGTATTTGAAAAATTTACAAAAATTCCAAAATAGAAATTATAAATTTTCAGAGCAAAATGAATTTATTAATATTACTTAGGTAGATATCATTCAAGTTTTAATCTATATCTGAACTAAATTAGTTCATTTATATATAACAGATACTAGTTTTTATCATATGTGTCATCATATAAAAAAATGTGTCTTACAACTACTACGTTCTTTAACTAACCTATGATTCTCCTTTATATCCTATGACGCTAAGGTTTCATTGTCCTAAGTACCTCAGTATACTCTATTATATCCATGGTACTGCTCATGTCTATAGGCGACGGTTACAACTTTCCATCAGGTGGGCCGTCAGCTTATTTGCCATTCTAAGAAGTATAAAAAAAAACTTCAATGCTTGAAATGATGTTATGCTTGAAATTATACACGAAAAAAAAATACCATCCAGTAGGAAAGAGATTGTAGATTGTATCTAATGTTGTCATATTGTACCTAATAATTAAGCTGGGGGAAAGGTATTGTTATGGGGTCTAAAAGCCCCATTGCTAGCAATATATCCTATCAGGACAATCACTACGCAGTTCCCCTTAGACACCATCGTGGCTACTTCCTAATAAATTCATCAGAATGGAACAACTGACTTGACTTCTTCTTCGTCAATATTATTCACTAGTATATATTATTCACTAGTACTCAGTCAACGTACACCAAGAGCACAGACAGGGTTTTCTTTCCATTTTAATCCTATAAAAAGAAAAACCATACCACAATATCGTTTTATCCTTTGCCGTGTAGTTTTAGCATAGAATGGGCCACTTCGTCCTTTCCCGAGGATGTACGACACCCACGGAAAAGGACGAGGTGACGAGAAGCGACTAAGGTTCCTTAACGGTAGAGGAATTGTAATTGGCCTCCCTTTTAAATCATCATCAAAGTCTAACTGCGGTTGCCAACCCGCCTGCCAAGCGTGGCAACTATTGTGAAACTTCCCTTATGGGGAAGGCCTATGTTTAGCAGTAGCCAGCTAACAATGGCTAATATGGTTTAACACAATATGTAAATTGTACGAAAAGCTTTACAGGAGTATTAATTCGGAAAAAATATGAAGTACCTAATAGTATTGGCTGACCCAGTAGACGTTGTTTGGCACTTACCGCCACCTACCGGATCCTATTTCTGTTTTTACGTGTTAAAGGCTATCCCTCCTCGCAGGGTTAAGACGACCTGCGACCAGCGTACAAACTATCCTATCTCTCAAGTTGAAGCAAACTATGCATATTTACAAAATTATATTAAAATTATTTTCGGTTTCGGAGATTAAAGTGAAAGAGCATCGTAGCAAGGGATTTTGTATATATTAACTAACCGCGACTTTGTCCGCGAGATCAGGATATGTTTACTGATCGGAATGAAAAGTAACTTGTAACCTTTCCCACTCCATAAAGTGCGTGTATAGCAAATTTCATAGTGATTAATTAAGCCGTTAAGCCGCTATAGAGTAACAAACATACAAATTCACTTTCACATTTATAATATTAGTAAGTATACTAGAAACATGCCTGCGGTCTGTGGGGGGAGGAGCCGCGCCGGGAGCCGCTGCTCGACGACCTGTTGCTTGGTTCTGAAACAAAGTTCACATTTAAGGCGCCTCATTAAAATTTATCAACTATAACATATACCTAAAAATAGAGTGCTGAATCAATGGATCTTTGGTAATTCATCTTTGAACGTGTAGTTTTTTTTGCATTGTTTATTTTGCACAACAATCTAATTACAGTGTTTATGCTTATTACTTATAGTTTAATTTAATTGATTGTTTTTATTAGCAATGTCATACGAATTTGATTAAATCTTGTATAAACCTATATTTTTTTAAAAAGGCCTTTTGTTTTTACTGTTATTTTTATAATAAAATTTTTTAGCTTATTGATTTTAAGACACTTTTTCTTAAAAAAATTATGTAACTTGTAATTCAAATAAATTAATTTCATAAACACAGATTGTAGATTTTAATATATAAATATATATATATATATATATATATATATATATATATATATATATATATATATATATATGTATATCCTGTTTTAGAGTTGTGCTTTTGTTGGTGGAGCTCTTGCCACTCACTACGATTTTCAGCGAGTCTTTTCACCTCTTGATACGACACGACACCAAATTTTTCTTGATCATTTGATATATATATATATATATATATAAAATAACTAGATATTTTACTATTACATTAATTTGAGAAAACTCTTAAAAATAACGTTTTAAGGAATGTAGCGCCTTAAGTTCCTACATACATACATACATATCAGGTACACTATATACTACTACATATATGCATATCAAATAGACTGATAGATCACTATAATTTATTTCAATAGAACTTAATGAAAATAAAGTAAAAACGAAAAAAAATAGTTTCGTAAATTATGTAAGCGAGTACTAAGTAAGGATTCCACGAAATTATTGGAAGTAGACTTTGACTGTAGATAAAGGTCGTCTTAGTCTTTGTCCTAAATGAGTTTTTACAATTAGATAGCAATGCTTGCATAATTTTTAACTTTTTTTTATGCAATCTAGAATGGCAAACAAGTTGACGGCCCACCTGATGGAAAGTGGTAACTGTCGCCTATAGACATGAGCAGTACCATGGACATAACAGAGTATACTGTTTGGCCCATGATACCTCCCATGCGTTACCATTCCTGAGGATTCAGGTGTTATTCCTCTGCACCCTGTAAATTCACTGTCATATCCCACTCTTCAAACCGACGTAAATCACAGCCATGCAAACACAACTGCTTCACGATAGAAACACGAATGGTACAGAGGTGCCCGAGCATACGACTTTTATACAAAGTCTCCCTCTGGTAGATGGGTAGATAATTTAAAGCGTGGGATACGGTATTACAGGAGTATTTTTTTTAATGGATGATAATGGAATAGTATCCCCGCCAGCGCTATCGGTATACAGTGGCGGGGCACCAACGAGGGAGATAATAGGTGAGGATGAAAGGGCTGGTCAGTTAGCTCACCGTGATGAATACACCTGGAATTCAGGATGATAGTTTCTAGGGGGAACCATGTGGAGGTCGACCTGATAGGGTATATTGTTAGCAATGGGGCTGACAGTCCGCAGTACTAACAATCCCTTCTCCTCCAGTACAGGAGCATTAGGTATTCAATCCTCAGACATGGTAATGTATGAGGGAAATATGGGTATACAGAGAAATATGTTTACGGTGCTATTACTTACTATTTTTTTTATACAACTTAGAATGGCAAACAAGCTGACGGACCACCTGATGGAAAGTGGTAACCGTCGCCTAGAGACATGAGCAGTACCATGGACATAACAGAATATACTGTTTCGCCCATGATACCCCCCATGCGTTGCCATTCTTGAAGACTCAAGTGTTATTCCTCTGCACGCTGTAAATTCACGCCATATCCCACCCTTCAAATCGAAACACACCTATGCAAAGACAACTGCTTCACGGTTGAAACACGAATGAGACAGAGGTACCCAAGCAATCGACATTTGTACAGTCTCCCTCTGGTAAAAATACTATATAAAAACTTCTAAACAACGAAACAAAAATACCCTATATACGGTTCATAGGGTTGCCTAAACAAACAGTGCTGTGAAGTGACTGACACTCCACAGTATTCAATATGGGGGACCCGCCTACAGCCGCCTGCAGCCGTAGCGTAGTGTCGATCATTTGGTCAAATCATTTTCTCTCCCATCTTAAATTTTACAGGATGCATTCAACAATTGTGTTTACACTGCAATACTAGTTAACCCCTAAACGTTCTTTTCTCCCTACCGCCATCTTTTTTTTTATACCACTGAGGTGGCAAACAAGCATACGGCCCACCTGATGGTAAGCAGTTACCGTAGCCTATGAACACCTGCAATACCAAAGGTATTACGCGTGCGTTGCCGACCCTTAAGAAACCTCTTTACCCCTCTTTTGAAAAACCCCATGCTGTAGTCTCTTGGGAAAACCTCGGCAGGGAGCTCATTCCATAACCTGAGTGTTCGTGGGACTTTATTACCGGGCTTTATTATTTTTATCAGGAAAAAAAATTTTTCCTCTCTCTATTGCTTGCTTCATATCTCTAGTTGAATTAAATATTACACATTATGAAAATTTCATTAAAATTGATTGAGTGATTTTGAAGATTAACGTGAACATTCAGGAGGTACGTGGAAGAAATATTATCATTAGAAAGAGATGTAATTTCATAAAATATGGGGTACTATTACACGTGTAAAGTTGTCGCGCTGTGGTGTCTGGAGTTATCAAATGCCGAGCGTATCATCCAAAATCCGAAACAAGAGAATAATTTTCAACCGACTTCAAAAAAGGGAACCATTTGAGAACCGAATTGAGAACCCCTAATTTAGTTGTATTTTTTTATATTTGTTTCCTCAAAACTCTATATATTTATAAAATGATTTGGGAATATCTTTTTTATTGGACAGGATCAATTAGATCCATGGAAATTTTATGAAAATGTATTCGATAGTTTAATTTTTAAAACGAATTCTTTTTTTGTGAAACATGATTTTAAATTATTGAATAAATGAATTTAAAAATTTAGAATTTTCGTTACTGGGATCCCTGGATCACAGTTAAGGATTATCCATTTGACCTTACACCACACTGAGGTGATTAGGATAGAGTAAAGAACGTTTAGAACGAACGGTAGTTTGGTCACGTTAAGCACGGCTAATAAATGTATATATAACAGTATAACTATTATTAAAATCTATATACCAACAACAATATCACTACTATACGCAGTAACCGCTAGCTAAATGTGCGGAATTTACCTGTCACCCCCAGTCACTAGATAGTCACGAACAGAATGTGTTTGTTTCAATAGTTGGAGAGCTAGCAAAACACAATTGCATAATTAGGTTATAGTTTACAATGCAAATAATTTATAGACATAACTATGTCAAACAATAGAGGACACTAGATCTGACGTGGCATAGAATCTACATTGTAAGTGACTACTTTTGTGCCTATTGTGCAGGGCCAAATTTCAGGTTGAATAGGTACTGACAAAATCTTGAGTATTTTATTTTTTGTATTGCATTACAATGTCAAGGCTGTTTGATAGCACCACGATGCCTAAATATTATTACTATTTTTTTTTTATAAAATAATGGTAACGAGCTTTTGCAAGCGGCAGGCTTTTGCTCGTCATCCCAGGCGTAGATAATGCGGATCCAAATTCGACCCGCTCAGATTTTTTTAATCACAGATGATGGGTCTGTCTATAAGCTAATCAGTCATGACAATTATTTTTAAAAGACTTCAAAAAGAAGTTATTTCATCAATTTTTTTTTTGTATATTTATTTTTTATTGACCGCATTACAAAAATTATGGACAAGAAATACACAATATTCTGATAATGAACGATATCTGTACATGGATAATATTATTGAAAATCCAATAGAAACCAAAACAATAATTTTTAAAATTTTGTCTGACTCTTTGTCTGTATGTTTGTTTTGGCAGCACCAAATGAAATGTGGTTTCCAATGTTGTATTCCTAAAGGTCTAACTAAAAAACTAATGTAGGTTTTACCTTGATACACCATCTAGAAGTAGCCTATTTCATTTCATTAATATTCCTACTTCTGAAATACGTATATTTAAAGTAGCGGGCAAGAAGCTAGTTATCAATAATTCTAAAATTAATCAAATATCACTTCGTTTATTTATTTTTTATATCCTCCACGTCAGAAACTATCAATGACAGACATTAACTGTCAACTGTCTTTGAGTCGATGATCCTCGAGCTCTTCCCATTCGCCATTTTAATAGAAATATTGTCTTTCATCTATATTTTACTAATCATATTAAATAAAGAGAAAAGAGATTGTTAGTAATGGGGTCTCCATTCGCCATGTTAATAGAAACATTGTCCTTTATCTATTTTTTACTAATTTATATTAAATCATAATTATAAAAATACAATCATCGTAACAGCATTATTTTTACTAAAATAAGAGGTGTAATAATTAATTTGGTTCTTTTCTTTTCGATTATTCATCCTGTTTAGATGCCTATGAACACAGCATTGCTGATTACGAGTACTCATGAATAAGCAAATATTGTTCTATTGTGATCCCGTATTTATTTTGTAATATTTAGAATTGTAACTATTCTTTATTGCCATATTTAATGCTGTCAAGCGTAGTAACTACTCCCAATAAAGGGAGGCCATATGTTCAATAGTGGACTGTTGATATGATGATAATGATAGGCGTATTTCAAGAGATTCTGGGTACACCATAATTATCTGGTTCCAATACCCCAGGATGCCAACTAAACGTCAGTTATACACAAAGACATGTCTGAAAATACATAACCACCTCAGAATTGTAAACAAGCTGACGGTCCACCTGATGGAAAGTAGTAACCGTCACCTATAGACATGAGCAGTACCATGGACAAAACAAAGTATACAGTTTCGCCCATGATACCGCCATGCGTTGCCATTCCTGAGGGCTCAGGTATTATTCCTCTGTACCTTGTAAATTTACTGCCATATCCCACCCTTCAAACCCAAACACAGCCATGCAAACACAATTGCTTCACGGTAGAAACACGAATGGGATAGAGGTGTCCAAGCAAATGACTTTGGTACAAAGTCTCCCTCTGATATATTCTTATATATGTCATTGGTATTCTACTGAGTAATTACAAGATAAAACAATTTCAATATATCAACATAACAATATATCTCCCGTCTAGTGAGACGACTAACAAATAACTGAAATTGCACTTGCGGTTTTCTTTCAAATACGCAATAAACAGAGTAGATCATTAAACATCTAGTATGTGTTTCGAATAGTTATTAAGCTAAAGTACTTATTTATATATATACAATATAATAATATAATTAGTTTTAGTTGGCTGTAATCTTATTTAAGTGTATACTTGTATTCTTTTGAGAAATGAATATAGTAAACCGTTATACATTGAATTATTTTTAAATATTATAGCTATTTATTTACCTTTATTTCATTTTTTTTTATACAACTTAGAATGGCAATCAAGCTGACGGCTCACCTGATGGAAAGTAGTAACTGTCGCCTATAGACATGAGCAGTACCATGGACATAACAGAGTATATTGTTACGCTCATGATATCCCCCATGCGTTGCCATTCCTGAGGACTCAGATGTTGAAACACGAATGGGACAAAGGTACCTCAAGCAAACGACTTTTGTACAAAGTCTCCCTCTAGTAAATATCTCATATCTCATAAATGTTAAAGCATAAAGTAATCAATTTTTAATTTATGCTCTAATTAAAAAATAATTAAGTCTAAGGTGACAACTAGAAAAACATTGAAATCTTTTAGAGACTTCTAGAATTTTTATATTTTAAATAAATTAGAAAAATAAACAATATAATAAAATAATTAAAAAAATTATAATGGTATCTTTATTAAACTAATTAAGAACTTTATATTTTTTATATAAAAAAAAAATGTAAGATGAATACTTTAATAATCATACGTTTCAAGTATCATATATTACACTCACTATTAATGTTTTTAGTAAAATAATATAACGTACTAACATGATTATTATAAGATTATATATAAGTGCCCTCTAAGTATTTATATGATGATGTTTATATGTATTTGTTTAGTCGTACATGTTTACTATTCTATTTTATATGAGAAATACAAATTTCCTCCGCGAACGCTCAGGCTGTGAAATGAACTCCCTGCCGAGATTTTTCCTAGAGATTACAGTATAAAATTCTTTAAAAAAAAGTGTATAATAGTACATTACTGCAGCGGCCAGCAACTGAGGCATTGATGGACGAACGTGCAAATGTGGGCCGAGGTGTAGCCGAGGCACACGTACGTGAGTCCATCAATGCCTAGTTGTGGCCAAGGCTTATATAGTACTTTTCTCAAACAATGCGCGGAAATCAAAAACTCAATTTTACTTTTTAAGTTCAATGACGAATAATGAACAATAATAATTTTGCAGGCGTCATAATGTACCTTTGTTTTTTTTTTTTTTAATAAACAGCTTTCTATTTGTAAGCCAGTTCGTATGTATGGCCAGTACGGCAATTTTGATTTATGTCTAAGAAGATTGTCAAAATAATGCTCACATTTCCAAGCATGTTTGCGAAAAGGTTTTTTCAGGATCTACAACGGGCAAGTAACGTCTATAAGCTACAATGACCGTTTACCATCAGAGAGCTGTATGTTTTTTTTTACCGATTTCGTGGTATAAAAAGAAAAAAAAATTTTGAATCTAGTAAGTGGTTTCTAGGTACTTACACATTCTTGATATGAATAGCTGACGATTATTTTTTTTTTACATATAACAAGAGGGGACAAACGTTTCACCTGATGTTAAGTGACTACCACCTCCCATGAGCACACGTAACACCAGAGGCATTGCAGGTGTATGCTTGCCTTTTAAAAATTAATATGCTCTTTTCTTGAAGGTTACGATTTCGTAATTATTTAAATTCTGTCATATAATTACACTTTTCAATATAAAACTATTTAAAAATCTAAATTCTATAATATACGAGTATTCAATCCAATAATTAAAAATGTATATTTGGGGGCAGGGCAAATTGCGAACTTATAGGTCATTAACCCTTACTGACGATACTACGTTATAACAATTGACTTTGAGGTCTAATGTCAATATATGCCACGCATTAAATCTATTTACTCTCCGCCATCGGCGGTGACTACGAATGGGACAAAGTTTCGTGAGGTCTTTTGCCCACAACGCCAAAGGCTTTGCGTTTATTTACATTGAACATTTCGAGGACAACTCGAATTCGAGTTACTTGATGCATAAAGTTCGAAACTAATAAATATGCCGATATATTAAGTACTATTTATTAACTGATACTGGATAATTTAATTTAAATTAATGGGCATCAATAAGTAGGTAAATATCTTCACCCAGTGGGTGTCTACAGATGGACAGCCAGGAAAATTTGGCATGATGACCTAGATGCATTTAAAAGGAACAAGTTTGCGTTGACGCAGAACAGGCACTTTTGGAAGGAGATGGGGGAGACCTTTGGCCAGAAAGGGGACGTTATGGGTTATTAATAGAATAGAAATTTAAAGTCTAATCTATAATTGGCAAAATTATGGTAAGCCATGTTAGAGGCCGTCTTGTACAAGGCCGCCTAGAACTCTTGACACTAGGAGGCGCTAGCTTCTTAATAATAGTAGTAGTAGCGAAAACAGCGAGGTTATTTTTGACGGACTTAAAACGGGATTTAACGGCTGAAATGATAATGATGGCATTATATTTGACATTTATTTGATTAAATTTCGTTATATTATCCCATTGTTTATATCAAAATATAATCAAGATATCAAGATAGTGAGATGGCAACTGATGTTGGTGTGGTGGAGTTACCTCGGCTGTCGCGTAGTTCCCCGGCGCCGACAATGTTGCCCAGTACGGGCATGCCCGCCATGCCGACTGCTACTCTCTCCACTTCTTCATAACGTGAGATCTGTATTAACAAAATATTATAATTCATGAAAAAAAAATTTTTATATAAATAAAATAATCTGTATAAAAAAAATTAATTGCCGAACGTTTATATAATTAAACATTATTTATATAATGAAACTTTTTGAAATAAGCAATAACTGCGTGAATGGGCGATAAAATAAAATAAGACAATGGAAAATGACAATTTAAAAATGCTTAAGTCAAAGTTTTCTTAAATACAAATATTTCTTTCTTTCTTTGTAATTAGATAGTACAAGATTTGTATGAAGAAAATGTTTGGAAAATCATATGGAGTAGTACTCCATATGATTTTCCAAACATTTTCTTAGTTTGGAAAATAAAAAAAATAGTTAAAATCTCTCCATATCAAAAAAGGGGAAGTGAGACAGAAGACAGTAGGGAGATATTAAAAACTATTAATAGATATAGACATGCTGTCAATACACGTACAGTGCAGTAAAGGAAAGATTTAGTCTCATTTTCTTTATTATTATTAATTTATGTAGTTACAATTGGTTTATACATAATACATTAGTAAGTATATTAATGAAAATGTAAATCGCACTGTGCAGTGTCAAAATATACGGTATTGTGCTTAAAATGAAATTTATTTCACAAATAATATCAAATTATCGATCTCACGCTAACTATATAAATTTTAATAGCTGTATCGATATAATGACATTATCGTTCATTGTTTTTATCAAGATGGGGTCACTAATGTACCTTCATCGTCACCTATCATCCTTCACTGGTACTCCGCCAGCGTACACAGCGCAAGCGTAGTTACCACCTTTCCATTATCACCTAATAAAAACTTGAGACGAGTTATAAAAGTGGTTGAAAAGAAATATATGGTTTATAAGTATATGCAGGCCTATTTCTACCTACCCTGTAAACGAGCTAGCGTGTAATACTTATAATGAAATTATAAGAAATAGCTTTATTTTATGCAACTATAAACTACAGGTTGGTTGTATATTGGTTTTTAAATTGAATTGGCATACATGTAAAACAATTTGCTTTCTCTATTTGTTCTTACATTAAATTTTATCATATAAAATTATATACATATCTATTCTGTTTATTTGAACTTTTACATACATAAATTTATACACCTCATATATAAAATTATTATTCTACAATTATATATGTGTAAGAGAAGAAGTAAGGTATGTACCTTACCTCTTCTCTTTCATCTCTCCTGATCCTGTAATTCTATCCCTAAATTTTCTACCACTACATTCCTGTTTTTTTCCGCGTTGATTTCCTTGCTTTTAAATTAAACTTGAAAATAGCTAATGGCAACTCTAAAAAACCGAAGCCAAACGATAAAAAAAACAAATTCATCATACTTTTATACTGTATTTATTTCTGTTCCCTTCCACTACGAAAATTAGCTGATACGTCAAGTTGAACATTAACAAAAACATGCAATGAGATTTCTATTAGTTTAAACTTTAACCCAATCAGATATACCCTGCCGCTTCTTTTTGAGTCGTCAATAAAACAAACAATTTCGAATACGCGGAATCAAATTTTATGTAGAAATAAAATAATATCGGTCCATTAAATGTCCATGGTGTAGGCGAGACGTACCTGTATAGAATTTCATAGTCCCTGCGGTTTTATTACGGCAATTTGTAACGAAAGGCGATAGGGACTGTAGACTGTTCGAGTATATCACAGGCTAGGTATTGGTAATTTATACCTTGCAGGTGCTCCGATATTTTCTATATATCTATTGTTTACTAGCAATCCAGTCTGGCTTTGCACGGGTAGATAGATTTCGAGAATAATATACAGTCTATCATCACCATCATCATCATATCAACCCTTCACCGTTCACTGCTGAATATAAGCCTTAGGGGGATTTTGACAGTAGTTGCCACGCTTTGCAGGCGGATTGGCAAGCGTAGATAAGCTTTAGAGATGTTTTAAGTCATTATCAGCCTTAAACTAATGAAATAGACTACTTCTAAATGGACTATTTCTAAATTCTCCTTTTTAAAAAGCCGGCAGCACACCTGCAATGCCGCTGATGTTGTGGGTGATCATGGGCGGCGGTAGTCACTTACCATCAGGTGAGCCGAATGCTCGTTTGCCCCCTGCGTTGTAAAAATGTAGAAATAATTAATTCTTAAATTTCTAGAGGGAGATTTTGTACAAGTCAAGTCAAGCTTGAGCACCTCTGTCCCATTCGTGTTTCTACCGTGAAGCAGTTGTGTTTGCATGACTGTGTTTCGCTTTGAAGGATGGGATATAGCAGTGAACTTACAGTGTACAGAGAAATACCACCTAAGTCCTCAGGAATGACAACGCATGGGGGGTATCATGAGCGAAACAGTATACTCTGTTATGTCCATGGTACTGCTTATGTCTTTAGGCGACAGTTACCATTTTCCATCAGTTGGGCTGTCAGCTTGTTTGCTATTCTAAGATGCATAAAAAAAGGTTCCTTACATAATTTTTTCTTATATATCTCCCATGTATAGACATCGTGTAGTTACAATTTTATGATATTAGTAAAAAAAAGATAGGTGACATCAATAATAATCGAAATCAATAAATTAATTCCTTTTAGCTTTTCGCGATAAGGTCGCCCATTGTTTTCTCATTATGATTATTTCTTGTAATTGTTTATATTTATAATAACTTTACTATTGTAATCTTATGGAGGAAACAATAAAGAGTATCTATCTATCTATCTATAATTCCTTTAGAAAGAAAATGTATTTTTACTTATGAATAAATAGATGAATGAATTTTGTTGCTAAAAATGCTTATGTAACTGTCAATAGTTTCAAACTGTCAAAATTACTTTCGACAGAAAAAACAATCAAAAGTAATTTTGACAGTGTTTTATACAATCATATATATACCACTGCTATTATAGTACCATTACCACAAAATATTACAATCAATTCAATTTAATTCAATTTATTCTATAACAATATTACATTGTGTCGAATATTATAGGATTTTTATACTGTACAACTGTAAAATCACAAACATGCAACAATTTTACATATAAACAATGTCAAATATAAATAATAAATTAATAATAATAACAATTTAAGTGAAAAATTTAAGTAATCTTTTTAAAACAATTGCATTTTCATAAATAGTGCTTTCAATCGTGACAAAATGGATATGGAACCAACATTAAACTTCACAACTTCATTTTTTCGCGCACTTAAACAATTTCGCTCGATCTGAAAATAGCTTTAAATCTCAGTACAGTACTTAAACCAAGTTTAGATATTTGTTTTTTTTTTTTTTAAATTAGCCTAATGATATAGAGATTGTTATTTTCAAAACGACAGCATAATTTGTTTCTCATTACTCGTCTGAACACCATGTTTCACAATCCCCAGACGACTTGACAAGGTCATTGCTCGCACTCGCAGCGTAACTTTTATTTTTCATTAAAGAATGTAAGAGTACTTCACAACGAAACTACACGACTTTATCTTTTGTTATATTATTAATATTTAATTATTTTCATCGGGGTGTAACCGCATCTTAGGATGTAGATAAAAAATGCTTATCTAAGTAACATCATTTTTATAATATCAGCCGTTTATTGTTTAATATTGAACATAGGCCTCTCCCATAAGGGGGGGTTTTGCCAGTATTTGCCACGTTTGGCAGGCAGGTTGGCAACCGCAGATAGGCTTTGATGATGTTTTAAGAGGGACGCTGCTGTCCATCCCTCGACTATTAAGCTCTTTTAGTCGTCTCTTATGACACCCACGGGAAAGAAAGGATTGACCCAGGTGCCGGGACAACACGGCAATATAAGTATATCTATCTATAAATTAAAAACAAGATTTTGTTTCAACAGAATTTAGTGAAAAGGTAGGGGAAAGGATTGTTAGTAATGGAGATATAGCAGCTTCATTGCTAGCAATATATCCTATCAGGTTGACCTCCATGCGGTTGCCCCTGGAAACCATCGCGGTTGATACTTCTCGAATTCGTCACAATTGGCTAACTGACTGCTTTCATCCTCATACTTATCATCTTTCACTGATGTCCGCCAGAGTATACCGTATGTTCACCTATTTTTTTTTTTGAGGGGTGAAAATGGAATGAAAACACCGCCTGCGCTAACGGTATACGCTGGCGGAGCACCAGTGAAGGGTGATCGATGAGAATGAAAACAGGCCAGTTAACCCATCATGATGAATTCATCAAGAATTAACCATGATAGTTTCCAGAGGGAACCACGAGGAGGTCAACCTGGTTGGGTATATTGCTAGCAATGGGATTTTTAGTATCTATTATTGACAACCCTTTCCCCCCATGTTCACCTATTAAAAAAATTGTTGAATTTATCACAGAAACACTAAATTCAATTAGTAACAAATCGAAATATTCAGTCAGTTGATTTTTTTTTACTGGACAGTGTTGGTCATTAGCATATTGTCGTCTGTCATTATTCGTTTGTTTACATTTCCATTCAGTTCTATTGAGACAAGCAATAGCAATTTAATAATAACTACAATACAACACAATATTATTAATTAATTTGTGAGTCAATATATCAATACCACACGCTCAGGCTGTGAAATGAACGCCCTGCCAAGGTTTTCCCTAAAGACTACAGTATGAGTTTTTCAAAAGGGGGAATTAAGGTTCCTTCAGGGTCGGCAACGTGCACGTGCCATCCCTAGTGTTGCAAACGTCTATAGGCTACAGTGACCGTTTACCATCAGACGGTGTGTATGCTTGTTTGCCATGTTTGTGGTACATAAAAGAAACAACAGTCTGTAAAATCTTTTTTACAACAATCTGTTTATCTACAACCAATTTTTTTTTTCAATGCTTAATTATATTTCTGTATTTCCAAATGTTGATTAGAAGAGAATGCATTAAGTTCGCTTTTTGTACTAAAATTTTTTTTTTGTAATGTCTATATTACAAAAAAAAATTTGAAATTAAAAATAAATAAAAAACTAATTCCGCGCCTTCGTTTCTAAATCATAATCGCGG